GGTTAAATTTTTATTTTATTTTTTATTTATAAAAGTTCAAAAACTTCTTGTGAAAAAAAATAGTCACGAAATTACATTTATATTTTGAAAAAGTTATGAAAAATAAATAATAATTTCACATATTTAATAGGGTAAACTAAATTTAGTACATTTAAGATTAAGATTAAGATTAATGTTGATAATGAATGGGTTTGGCTTAATTGATAGAAACCTCAGGGGATTTCAGATTTTTTTTTACCTCTATATTTATTTTTTAACTTTTTTAATCATGTAAGAAATATTGACTTGCGTTTCTTTTAAATATGTGTCGACTAGAAGTTTAATGACTCAAAGATAAAAGTTAAAATTTAAGAATAATATATGATTGAGAAAATATAAAATAATATTTTTTTTTACATATTAATAAATAAGTAATGCAAATTGCTGAGAAAAATAAATCCATTTCTTTCAACTTTAAAAAAAATCAAATAATAAATACATTACTTAAAATGATAAATTTTATGTTGTTTGTGAAATAAAATTTATATTAAATTATAGAGATATTATTTAATATTAATTTTAGAGAGATTATTTATTTTAAAGTATTTTATCAATGAAAATTAATTAAGTTTTTTCATTAAATGTTTTAATAATATCTTAACAATTTAAGGGTATTATTTAATATTATTTGAAATTTAAGAATTTAATTAAATAATATTAAAATATATATGAGTTTTTGATAATATATGCAAAAAAAATTTTAAAAAGTAAATAAAATTTACCTATATCGATAATAAATGAGGTTTTTTGATTTATGAATATTTTTGTCTTTTTATGTGTAAATTAAAAGGTGATATAATTATTCTTATACTTAAATAACATCGTTTGTATGAACTTAAGTGATTCAGATAATTTTTATAATAATTTTAAAAATAAAAGAAGTTAAAGTAATTATTAAAATTATATAAAAAACGATCCCTACCATTGTCAAAAATTTCAAAAAAAGTAAATATAATTTATCAAAACAGAGCAGCCTCCCTCAGTCTTTAATCGAATTGGAGGGTGCTGTTCGGTCCGTAAAGATTTATTATGGATCCTATTTTAATAATCCAAACAGGTCAACATGTAGAACTCGTCGAGTATTATATGTCTATAAAAAATTACGTTGATCGGATATCGATAGCTATCTCATCTCATCAGTTTTTTTAACCGTTAATTTGTTTACCGTTTATTTTTTTTATACAAAACTGATTTGATCACATAGCTATCGATATCTGATTAATGTAATTTTTTAGAATTATATATTACTCAATGAATATTACATATTAACGATTTGAATTATTAAAACAAAACCCGTAATGCACTCTCACCAATCAAAAAATACCGTCCAATCAAATTAAAGACAGAGGCAAGCTGCTCAAAAATATAACGAATCAAATACAAGCTAAGTGATGGATGGGACCGTCGCTAAACTTTTGTAACTGCAGCTACCTCAGCGACACCTGCATGCTTGCGTGTAAGCTGCTAAATAATGCCCACTCAGCACTCATTTGGGAAGCAGAAATGATCGATAATTGGGTCTAAATAAAAATTAAAAAAAATAAATAAATTAAAACATCACATCATACGAGGCTGATTAGAAATCATACGAGGCTGATTAGAAATTAGAGTTATTTATAACTGAACTCTTAATTTTTTTTGTTTGGGAAGTTGGGTAGAGGTGAATTGAGACTAAAATAAAAAAATCTATTTTGACAACATAGTTTGTAGTCACTTTTTTTGGTTAGTAACAAAAGTTAAAAGTTAATTTTTTTGTCTCTTTTTTCATTTGGGAAGTTAGTTTTTAGTCAACGGTGAAATTATAATTTTGCCCCTCATGGGTCAAAATGTGTTACATAGGTGAAGTTGTAAATATGTTAAATAAATGGGGGTAGTTTGGTCATTTTATTATGATTTGACATCATAAACAAACATTAATAAAAAAAAGTCAAAAGTCACTTTTTACCAACTTTTCAAATCATTTGTTTAAAAAAACCAAAAACTTGGTTAAAAGTCAAAAAATTATTTTTTACCATCTTCCCAAAACAATCCTAAATAAGTCTTACGTTAAAACATATCACATTTAAATTATAGCTATTTTATTTTTTTCATAAAATTTTAAAAAATCAAAAAAATTATTTTAAGTGAAATTTTTAATTCCAAATTAAAAAAACTAAAAAGTTAAAAAATCAATTCCAAACCAACCCCTGGACTGGACTGGGCCACACCAGCAATCAATACCTAGGAATCCTTTTGTTTGGGCCCCGCAACCCCCGCTGCATATCTCCATTCAATTTTAAGAATGTTTTTATGGCCTCGTTTGGGAAGTGACTATTTTAATAGGCTATTTTAGTTTTTGACTATTTTAGTAGGTTAAAATTTTTGTATTTGGAAAGATGATTGAATTTTTTTGTGGTTAGATGTGATGTTTGTGAGAGAAAAAGTGAAATGATTATGGGTTTGATGTGATATTTTGTCTTATTAGCTATTTTAGCATATTTTGTCTTTTTGTGAATTTTAGCCTAAATTGAGCTATTTTTTTTCTTCCCAAAATATTTGAGATTTCTACTTCTCTCTCTCCCTCTTTAATTTAAGTGTTAATTTTTAATTTATTATACACTCAATTAGATAAGATTTAACTCTTTTATTATATTATTATAAGTAAATGTATTCATTTAAATTATAAATCTATAATAGTTATCAATTTTAAAATATATTCATGTAAGTACTTTTCATTTAGATACATGTGAGTAATAAGAATATATGTTAAAAAATGAGTTAAAATGTAATAATTTAATTTTATAATTTAAAAATAAGAATTAAATGAAATTTACCTTAAAAAAGGTTTATGTATTAAAATTATATAAAAACAAATGTGGAAATACATTATTAAAACATAGATTTTTTAAATTTATTGGATGTGGCATCAATTATCTTACACAAATAGTTAACATTTTTTCTTGTTCATTTTTTTTTTTTGTATTTTTTCCTCAATGAATTTGTTAAGTAGTGTGTTAATGAAGATGATGTTAATAAAAAGAAAGAGAAGAAAGTGAATGGATAGCAACTTCACCTAAAAGAAAAATAGAGGGAGGAAAGACAGAGAAGAGGAGTTCCTAGATATAACATTATTATATCGAATTATTTTTTTAAGTGAAATTAAAACGATAAAAACTACTGTAGATAATTAATAGACATTGAAATAAATTTAACATAATTATATTAAATTATTTTTTTAAGTGAAATTAAAACGATAAAAACTACTGTAGATAATTAATAGACATTGAAATAAAAAATATAAATAAAAAAATATAAAATATTATCTTTTTGTTCATATAATTTATAAATTATTAAAAAAAAATATCATATAAATTAAAATCTCAAAAGAATCAAGTGTAATTATGTTTAAAAAAGTAGGAGTAATAGATTTTTTATAAACTTTTGAGAGGTGAAGGTAATTTACAAAAAAATAATAATAATAATAATGTAATGGGGATTGATAAAGATAGCTGTCACTATTGGCCCACACTTTGTTTCAGTAGTAGGGGCTTCCTTCGTCACTCCCTCGCTTGAAAAATTATTTGTTGAGTCTGGGACACACGAGACTATAGTTTTAATTAATCACAAATCATCATATTTATTATATTTTTAATCACTTAATATAAAATTATAGCTTCATCAATCATAACACTACGGGGTCTTTTGGAAAGCCATAAAAAATCAATTTTAAATTTTTTACTCATTTTAAATCCCATTACTTTTTATATTTTTTACTCAGAAAAAAATAAAATAAATTAAAAAAACCAAAAAAATAACTTTCCAAAACACCACTAGGTGGTCCCACTAGGTGGTCCCTCAACAAACAAATAACTTCTCCGCTCGCTTTGTGTTTGATTGTACTGCGCACAGTTCCAGTATATGGATGAGGTACTGTTTGAGTTTTGTTTTTGATTTTATCCTTTCCTTTGAATAATTTATTAATAATAATTTATATGTTAAATGAAGGTTTTTTTTTTTTTAATTATATAAGTATTCTTAACCAATTATATAATAAATTTTTCCATAATTACTTAAATATTCTTAATCAATTATGAAATAATTTTTTTTTGTAATTATACAAATATTCTTAATCAATTATAAAATATAAATATTTTATTTTTTGATAAATTATAAATACATATTTTGAGATTTACTTATAATATGATTTTCATCCTACGATTTTGGAAATCACATCCTGTTTTTTGAAGTTTTTAATTTCATAACAAATGCCCATTTTATTAATAAATCATTAAATCAATTAATATTTTTTAATGATATCATAAATTTATCATTTATATATATATATATATTTATTTTTTCTTCTACTTCTTTATTAATTCAGGGACTTATCTTAATAGTTTTTTTTAGATAGGAGAATTATCTTAATATTTGTTTTATATTTATCTGCTTAGAAAAAGTTACACACCATAAATTTTTTTTTTTCATAAATTTTTTTTTTTATAAATTCGGAAGAAATGTTAAAGACTCATAAATTCACCTAAAATGATATGGTAATAGAATTATAGTCGACATCATTAAGTATATAATAAATCCAAAAATACACATATCATATCATATAATTCTATCATATATCTAATAATTTATTTTACTCAATTTCATATAACAATATTTTAATTTTTTAAAAATTATCAAAATATAAAAATTAAACATACTATGGTTTGGTTTGAGAAGTGGGTTGACTTTTTGACTATTTAACTATTTTAGCATGGAGTTAAAAAGCCTAATTTAGGAACGATTTTTGACTTTTTTAAGTTTTTTGATTTTTTTATGAAAAAAAAAATGTAATAATTATAAATTAAATGTGATATTTTATTTAATTGAAACTAAAAAAATTTATTTTATTTTTTATGACTATTTTAACCCCAATACCACCAAACCCACCTTCCAAACAATTCCTATAATACATCGGGTGTGTAAACTGGTATATGGTTATAGATTCCATTATATTATTTTCGGTCTATATCTATCTACTCTACAAAGCAAAACAATCTGCTACTGCTACTGCTACTGCTACCGCTTTTGCTTCAAGGGGAACACCCCGTGTTTTTCTCAAACGGAGGCGGAGTCCTCCTCCTCGCTCAACCTCAACACAAACTATGTCTATTTCTCCTTTCTAATATTCGCTTCCTCCCTGGAATCCCTCACGAATTAAAGGTAACCCCATCAGGAGAATTCATATATATATATATATATATATGGAGAATTCTATAATAAACATCCATTACCATATTTATTGTTAGTTATGCCGTTATTTTTATATGTTTGGGTATGTCATTTTCTTTATTTATGATTTTTTTTTTTTTTTTTTAAGTTATGATGCAGACATATGGAGTTATGCCATTTTCTCTTACATATGATACCATAGTCTTGTCCTATATATATAATTTGATTATGTTGTAGACTAGACTTGGCAATCTCCTACAAAAAATGATGCGACTCTTCGTATTTAGGTATCATCCACTGACGTTGTTGATGGTTACTTCTCCTCCTCCTCTTTCACTTCCATCTTTAATCTTGCTTCATGTATGTATGCTGTATAGTATACAGACATATGTTATACATATATAATTTTACATCATATGGACTGCCCAGGTGTAGTTTGTTTGGCTGCTCCCTCCCACGGCTTCATTTTTTGAGTTTCTACTTATATGTATATATATACACTTATCATTCATCAAAAAATTAGATTGATCTTAATCAAATGAACCCATAAAAATAAAACGATTTAGAATGAATTCCATAAGCCCTACTAGGCGGTATAGTCCATTAAGTGAAGTGAATTGGAGTGGAGTTGAAGTGATTGAATACTTTGCTGAGGTTTCACCGCAGCATATAGATAAATAATATAATATTTATTTATAATAAAGCTTGCTCATGTTTGTGTTCAACTTTTTAAAATTGTTCTGTAAGTTTACAAATTTCTTGTTTGAGGCAACCTCTCCTCTGCAGCCTATCATAGTAGCCAGGAAGATGAGCGGAGCTGTGCTCGTGGCTGTTGCTGCTGCAATCGGTAATTTATTACAAGGATGGGATAATGCTACTATTGCTGGTACTTCCTTCTTTCAATCTATACATTATACTTCCTCCTTATATTACATGATGTGTTTCATACAGTCTTTCATTTTTCAAAATTTTATTATCAGGATCAAACAACCTATCAACTCTGCGCTTTTGAATATTTCGGTTTTAGTATTTTTTACAGTAATCCAATTTTCCCTCACAAAACCACAGGGTTTTTTTGTGGAATTCCCACTCATAATCTGTGTTTTTTATTTGATCACTTGTTGTATAACTTCTATTTCAATCTGCGTATATCATTTTTCTTCTTCTATTGAAATCTGCAACAGGGGCTGTTTTATACATAAAGAAGGAATTCAACTTGGAAAGTGAACCAACTATAGAGGGGCTTATTGTGGCCATGTCACTCATTGGTGCCGCATTAATCACTACATGCTCTGGTGGAATAGCAGATTGGCTTGGTCGCCGTCCCATGCTCATAATCTCATCTGTCCTCTATTTTGTTAGCAGTCTTGTAATGTTATGGTCCCCGAATGTTTATATCCTACTGCTAGCAAGGCTTCTAGATGGGTTTGGAATTGGTTTGGCTGTTACTCTCGTTCCAATCTATATAGCTGAGATGGCTCCAACTGAGATAAGGGGTTTATTGAATACTTTGCCTCAGTTTACTGGTTCGAGTGGAATGTTCTTGTCGTATTGCATGGTTTTTGGAATGTCACTGATGAATTCACCCAACTGGAGGTTGATGTTTGGGGTTCTTTCTCTTCCCTCTTTCATTTATTTTGTATTAACAGTATTTTACCTGCCTGAGTCTCCAAGGTGGCTTGTGAGCAAAGGTCGCATGCTTGAGGCCAAGCAGGTGTTGCAGAGATTGCGTGGCAGGGAAGATGTCACTGGTCAGTCTCCATTCCCTTACCAAACCCTCCAATTTTATGCATGTGGTTTTGTGAAAAAAAGATGGCAGCCAAACAAACAGTAAAGAGGTCGTATCTTTGATATAATGACATTCTTTTCTTTTCTATCTTTTTTTTCATCATTTAGGTAATTTTGAATTCCTGTTTTCTACAGTTGAATTGGCTTTGCTGGTCGAAGGTCTTGAAGTTGGGGGTGAAACATCTATAGAGGAATTCATAATGTGCCCAGCCAATGAACTCACTGATGATCAGGACCCAACTGCTGAAAAAGAAAAAATCAGATTATATGGGCCTCAACAAGGTGTCTCCTGGGTGGCTCGACCTGTCACTGGGCAGAGTACTCTTCGTTTTGCATCTCGCCAGGGAAGCATTGCAAACCAGATTGTGCCCCTTATGGACCCTCTTGTCACCCTCTTTAGCAGTGTCCTTGAGAAGCTTCCTGAGACAGGAAGCATGCGAAGCATGCTCTTTCCACACTTCGGCAGCATGTTCAGCATTTCAGGGCAGCAACCTGAAAATGAAGAGTGGGATGAAGAGAGTATTGTCAGAGAGAGGGAGGAGGATTACACATCTGATGCTGCTGCAGCTGCTGATTCTGATGACAATTTGCAGAGTCCATTAATTTCTCACCAGACAACAAGTTTGGAGAAAGACATGATCCAACCGGCTGCCCATGGAACCATTTTAAGCATGAGGCATGATAGTCGCACACAAGGAAACACTGGAGAACCAGTCGATAGCATGGGCATTGGTGGGGGTTGGCAGCTGGCATGGAAATGGACTGAGAAAGAAAGTCAAGAAAGAAAGAAGGAAGGAGGATTCAAAAGAATTTATTTGCATTTAGTTTCTCTTCCTGGTGGTGATGTCCCTGCAGGTGGTGAGTTCATCCAGGCTGCCGCTTTGGTGAGTCAACCAGCTCTTTATTCCAAGGAATTTATGAGTGAGCATCCAGTTGGACCAGCTATGTTACACCCAGCTGAAAAAGCAGCGAAAGGGCCAAGTTGGAGTGACCTTTTCAAACCAGGAGTCAAGCATGCGTTGGTTGTTGGGGTGGGAATTCAAATACTTCAGCAGGTAACTAAGTTTTGTGGTGTTCTCTTCTCTTGTGAAAGTTGAATTCCTGAAGCAATAACAATTCTAATTCAAACTGAGACATATGACACTCAAACCAAATAACTTTTTAATTAACAAACGGATAGATCTTGGAGTGTGCAGTATACCTTATTGATGGGTTACTTAACTTAATTTTAGGTTCCTTTTTCACCTAATTAGCTTCATATGGTTACTATGCTTTATGCAGTTCTCTGGCATAAATGGGGTTCTCAATTACACTCCACAAATTCTGGAGCAGGCAGGTGTTGGAGTTCTTTTGTCAAATATGGGAATCAGTTCAACTTCAGCTTCTTTGCTAATCAGTGCCATCACGACCTTGTTGATGCTTCCTTGTATAGCTGTTGCCATGAGGCTCGTGGATGTCTCTGGCAGAAGGTAACTTTCTGTTATTTTTTTGTTGTCTTTACATAATTGCAGGTCTTGATTGAAATCTGGATGATCACAATAAATTCTGTTGATTTAATAAACCACTTTGTTGCAAAAGGCATTATTTTCTCATTTCTAGACGATAATCTACCTTGCTCCGTGACATTTTTACTGAAGTAGGTTTGGGAGTGATATAGGTTCTGGTTGGGTTGAATAATTTGTATTTGTTTGGCTATTGCACAAGAGAAATTATGCATCCATGTGAGCACAGAATGAACTATTCTCTTGCCTTTATCTAAAGAGCATGAGAAATTGTTCTACTTTTTATTTTAGCACACATCTCAACTGGCTAAAAATTAAGGTTTTGTTTAAGTTACATGCACACTATGCATACATATTTATGTTTAATCAGCTTAATCAAGTCAAACTCTTGGCTGTCATCCCCGCAATGAGACAATTAAAAGCATTTAGAGTTGGGTTGTTGACCATCGACTCTAATTTGGGTTTGGTGGTATGGGCTACCCCATCCACTAGCCACTGCATTGTCATGCCATTAACTTGGTATCCTCTCAAATGTCAAGGCTTCTTCTTCTGACCCAAAGATGAGTCTGAAATTCAATTTCACTAGCTTAGATATTTGATGGACAAAAGGTAATCATGAGGGATAGAGGAAGCTAAGTCAGCTACAAAATGGTTATCAATTCGTGGTCCACTGTCCATGACATTCTTTACCTAGTAAAAGAATGCTTCAAGAATATTAACATTATCAAATACCTTCAGTATCAACAATCAATTCTACGACAGACTAAATTAATTAACAGGTATTGAGGTTGGGGGTTTGGCCACATTTGTGTCCAATTATTATTTATTTATTTTTCAATTTTTTTTAATTACTTTTTTAACCCATTCTTACATTGCAGGAGCTTATTGCTTAGCACAATCCCTGTATTGATAGCAACCCTTGTTGTTCTTGTGATTGGAAATTTTGTGAACATGGGAGCTTTTGCAAATGCAGCCATCTCAACTGCTAGTGTTGTGGTCTACTTCTGTTGCTTTGTCATGGGATTTGGGCCAATCCCAAACATACTATGCGCAGAGATATTCCCAACCAGGGTTCGTGGTCTCTGCGTTGCCATATGCGCCCTTGCATTTTGGATTGGAGACATTATTGCTACCTACTCACTCCCGGTGATGCTCAACTCCATTGGCCTTCCTGGTGTTTTTGGTATGTATGCTGCTGTGTGCATCATATCATGGCTTTTTGTTTTCCTCAAGGTTCCGGAGACCAAGGGCATCCCCCTTGAAGTGATCACTGAGTTCTTTTCTGTTGGTGCCAAGTAGGCAGCTGCTTCCAGGAACAATTGAGTTGATCTGTGTTTAAAGGTTTTGATGGGTGTTCTAAATATGGGATTTATTTGGTTTCCCTTTTGTTTGTTTGTTTGTTTGTTTCTTCCCTATAAATATAAAAATTGTGATGGGTTTCATAGTTTTGAAATCTTTAGGAAAAGTGACTCGTTTCACCTTTTTTCTGTCCTCTCACTTAATTGGCATTTTTCTTTTTCTTCCCCCTTGGTTTCCCCTTCAGACTTTATAGAGCTGAATTGGGCCTAGCTTAGCCTCCACAGAGTGCAAGTCCAATAGTATAATAATAATAATATAAGCCAAGAATCTGCTTTTCAATCCTTACACACTACCATTGTATGCAAGATTTGTTGAAAGCGAAAATAAAATGAAGCCAAAAAAGTTTAAAAGTATATGTTGCATTGCAGGATACTTGCAACACCACTTGCATTTGGATTTGTTTCTTGATTTCACGGCGTAAAATCAACAATGTACAAGAATAAGAACCAGAAATATGAACAATGCTTCTCTTCTCTGGCTCACAATAACAATGAAAAGAAGACAACTCAACTAGTTTGAATAATGACCAGTCATTTTTATTTCTATTTGTTTATTTTTTTGGTTGAGTTGGCAAGGCATGATAACCAAAAACAAATAGAGATCATACCATGAACTGAATCAGTAGTTCTTCTTCTTCTTCTTCTTCTTCTTGTTGATTGATCATCATCACCATAGCATAGCATAGCATTGCATTATTAATATATCATCATCATCCAGGGATGCAACTTACGAGCCTAGCACCGACCCTGTCAAGCCTCTTCACCATTGCAGAGGCCTTCAAGTTCCCATACTCCATAAAGGCTTCAACCATCCTATCTCCAATCTCTCTCCCCATCTCCTCATCATCCGTAACTGCAACCAGAGTCGGACCTGCCCCACTGATGGTGCACCCAAATGCCCCAGCCTCCATTGCTGCCTTCTTCACCCCTTCCATCCCAGGAATCAACGGTGCCCTCCTCGGCTCCACTATTCTATCCGATGACAATGCCTTCCCCAGCCCTTTGAGATCCCCCTCCAGCACCGCCGCCACCAATGCCCCTGCCTGGCTGCAATTCCACACATGATCCCTCATCGGAATCTCCATTGGCAATGCCGCCCGCATTTTCTTCGTGGGAGCTTCGAATTCCGGATTCACCAACACAAACAGCAAATCTTTCTCCTCCAAGTTGGGAGGGAACTTCAATTGAATAAACTCCAGCGGATCATAACTCCGAATCAACACGAAACCTCCCATGATCGCCGGAGCCACATTATCGGCATGGTAGCCGGAAACCTTGGACTCCGACTCGAGTCCGGCGAGCACCAGATCCGACACCGATAAATGACCGCCGAAGATCTCGTTGACAGCGACAGCGGCGGCGGCGGCACTGGCGGCGCTGGAACCGAGGCCGCTGCCCAAAGGCAAGCCTTTGTGGAGGGAGAGGGAGAGGCCGACCGATCGGACGTTGAGCATCTTGAGGACGGCGATTGCGGCGATACCAGCGCAGTTGAGGAGGGGGTCTTTGGTGAGTTTTTTGGAGGAATCGCCGACGCCATCGATGTGGGATATGGAGATGTGGCCCGGGTGGACCTGGGGGTCGACTCGGAGAGTGACGAAGTCGCCGATTCCGTCGACAGCGCAGCCCAGGAAGTCAAAACAAGGGCCGAGGTTAGCAACAGTTGCGGGTGCGAAGGACTTGACGGAGGTGAATATAGGCTCGGGTTCAGTAACAAGGGTTGTAGATGAAGAAGAGACAGATGAGAGGTTCTTGCATCTCAAGGTTAAGGTTTGGGATTGGGATTTGGGTATGAAGAGGTTAGGGAGAGGATATGAGGACGAGAGTTTGAGTGAAGATTGATGATAGCATATGGCCATTACTGTGGCGATGATGGTCTACTCTACATATATCAGTAGTAGTAGCAGTGCATTTATTACAGAAGAAGAAGAAGAAGAAGAAGAAGAAGAAGAAGTGAGTTTAGAGTAAGTTGGGACGACTCCTCGTGGGACGACACTCCAGTGATGAATACTTGGAGCAATTCTGTTTGCATACTACACGCTTCATCTCTCTTTTTAACACATTAATATTATTTTTTTAATACAAATTCAGTTGTTTTGGTATTAACTATTGAATAAAATTTTGGTGATTGATGAAGCTTACAAATGATTATTTTTTTTCACAATTTTTCATCATTTCTTATTAAATTTACAAATCAAACATAAAAAAATAATTATTTTTCCCTTCATTTCTTATCATTTTTCATCAAATTACTCGATCTAAACAAACATTTAGATTATGTTTAGATTATTGATTTGAATATGAAATTTGTAAAAAGAAAAAAAATATAAAAATGTGAGAGCATTGAAAATAAAATGTTAAGAAATTTTAGTTTAAAAAAATGTACATTATAGATAAGATTTTTAGTTTAATTTTCTTGATATTAAGATTTTATCAAATAAATGATATGTAATATTTTCATAATAGTCAAATCCTTCAACATTTTTACAGAGAGATTTCAAATTTCTCTATAATGAACTGAAATTTCTCTAAGGCCTCGTTTGGCAACCGAACTTTTTAGCCAAAAAGTCAAAAAGTTATTAAATTAGCCAAAAAGTCAACAATCTATACCAAAAAGTCAAAGATTCTCTTTTCTCTCTATTTTTTTGCACATCTTTTCATAAAAAGCCAAAAAGTCATCCCAAACATACTAGTTTTTTTTAGCTCATATTTTAGCTAAATAGCCAAAAAGTTACTAAATTAGCATGTTCCTAAACGACGAGACCTAAGTAACGTTATTGAGAGATCTTAACTAATAAGAAAAAAATATATATTAAATCTCCCTTACTATCAAAAATTGAAAAGGGATGTTTCAATAATTACTCTTATAAATAATGTATTTTAACATTTATCCTAAATGCACATGATAACCCAACCAAGATTGTGATATACATGCTAATTGATTTGATTCCATTCCCACAAATTGGTACCTGGCTTATCTAATAGATTATTTATTTATTTATTTTTTGTTTCCCACGGGTGTTTGAGCGAGTTTAATGCACACCTCGATTAATCTCTACTCATGGTGGGAGTCTGCCATTGGGCATGAGGTGTTGCAGCTATCATGTCTTGAACTAGAGAGCAAACTTAGTCAAATCCCAAAACCTTATCCACTAGTAGATAAGTGATCGGGTCCCAAGCTCGTAATTAGATTATTTATTCTTTCATCACCGCAAATATATTCAATACACATGATACACTTCAAATAAGATATTAGGATTTTTATAACCCACACTTTTACGTGACACAATCCAACTGGAAAGGAATAACAAAATTTCCCTTGATGAGCCAAACAAAAATTCTACAGAATGAGCTTTTATGCACTATTTAAGTTTCTCTTTGTTAGTTTTGGCTCTGTATGTTTTTCTATACATTCCCTCCCAGTTCTCAAACTCCTCCGTCAGTGATCTGGAAGCACAGCAGGCGCGCGCACAGATACACACATTTATGGTTTCACCAACTACAGTCTTGTGAAGTGAGTTTTTCTGATAAAAATTGAGATGCAATTAGGACTTACTAGACTCGCTAATGAATTTAAGAAACACCATGTTGTCTCTCCTCCGAAATTCCTATGTCTGCCTGCTTCTCATTTTGATCCATTCATTGATTCCAATATCGCCCCGTTGCTAGTACCAGATAACATTTCTGTCCTTTTTCTCTTCGACCTGCTATTTGATACCTCTTCCTTTTCATTCACAAACAACAAGAATCTGTGGACACGCGCAGAACGAGAACTGCCACCCCCAGAACTAGAAGAATCGTGTAGTTCAGGAAAGTGTTTGCTGAACTTTCGCAGCATCAAACAGAAATATATGAGCAGAGCGAGAATGCATGCAATCCCACAAATTAGAAAAAGTCCCCAGAAGCTCCCTAGATTAAGCTGGTCCGATCCAAGCTGAGTGCTCTGCGAACCACAAGTTCTCTTGTTTAGCCACTTGTCATGGATTTTTTGAAGATCACCGTTCTCTGACAGCATGAGAATGGCGGTTGACATGTCAATGGCAACCTGAGAGTCTCTTGGAAATGCCTAATAGCAGGGGGGGAAAAAATGATTTATCAGCATAAGAAATAGAGGAAGGCTTGAAATTAGTAATTGCTTAGTGATGAGATACTTACAAATCCCCACCCACTTTTAGTAAACTCTTGGCCTACAACAGTGAACTTGCAGTGGGTGGAGAGGAAGAGATCTATATATGGTAGTTCATCAACCACAGCAGAAACAGTTCCTTTCTCTAAGGCCATAGCATATTCTTCTGGTGAACCAAGCGCAACAAGCCTAGATTTGTCAATGTTGAGCTCTTCGTTTAAATAGTTTTCAGCAAAAGACCCTACTTGGAATCCAATCCGGCCATTGCTAGTTATCAAGCTTTCGATTCCTCGAATGGGAGAGGATAGTTGTTGCACCGTGAGGATTGATGTCAGGCTTGCAGTATAACTCGAGTTAATAATTAAAACCACGAATAGCCAGATGAGTAGAACCAAGCGTCCAAGCGTGCTCATTGTGTTTTCTCCTGAGAATTTGAAGCACAATTTGTGAGCCTACACCATTTGACTAGCCTACACTACTAACTCTTTTGAAGTAAAAAAAAACAAGTCTACATAGATCTTCAGGACGTCTACTTACGGTGGGCAAAAAACATAGTTGAGAAGCTAAACCTGCAAGATAAGAAAGCCGAGGCAGATGAGAAGTTACAAGAGAGCACGGTGAGCAAGTTATGGTAAAGATTACCAGATACGCAAAAATACAAGTTTGTAGACATCTATATCAAGATAATTCATAACAAAACCAAAGTACTCACCACAGAATTGTGACCAACTGTTTCTTAGGTGGACCGCGAAATTCGTCGTTTATCCTATGTTCTAGAATCCATACCACTGATCCAACAATAAGGAAAAAGGATGCAGTGACTCCCCACATTAGCGGAGTGAATGGTCTCAAGAAAGTCCAAGCACTTGAGTTCAACTCCCTGATTGGCACTACGACGACTAGCCCCGATTCTATGTAAGGCTGTGTAAAATCCACAATCTTTGTACGGTTTGTGATAATTGCAATGTCACCAACAGCAGCATCAAAGACCTACAACAACAAAATTGCAAAAATTAAATTCTGAAACTCTGTATCCTAATAGAAGTATTAGTAATTTTTCTACTCACATTGGATGTGATCATTGTTACAAGCTCAGTATAGCTTGGGTTCTTGTGACCGTCTCCAAACAGAACGAACTGATGAGGCACAGGATATGGAAGCAACTTTATTGCAGCAAGAAAAACATCTATGCAATATCCTTGGACTGTATTATTATCAGTACCATTGACTGGTGAAACAAAATCCTGATAACTAACACGGTGTGGAACTCCAATTCTTAACCGCCTCCCATTGTTTGCAAACACCCATCCACGAGGCTGAATTTTTGTTCCACCGGGCCATACCACGCTATGCAATTGTTGGTTGGAACTTGAACGGTCAGGTGGTTTGGCATAAAGCGTCTCTGGTGACACAATGGAGAGCCCAGAATAGTTAGACCAGTATCCTATCTGCCGGTTTAACCCAGTTCCAATTACGTTAATGATATCATACGAAGGATGGATTGGAGATCTGTCTGGATTAAACCCAAGAGGACCAGTTAGACCCGTCATATTGGTCTGCAGTATGTTGCTAAGTAACTGCTTCCCGCCATCAAAAATGCTCAATGCAGCAAGATTCAAGGCCCCTCCCCCCAGATCACTTAAATTTGAATCATTCGAGAATGAAATAGTGCCACCGTGATCCAAAAACGTTTTAACTGCATTAGCAATCATCCAAACAGCATCATAAGCATACAGACCGTAGGAATTCAACCCAATAGAACCATTACTCAGCTGATTCCACCGAGATGAGAACACCCTTTTCCTTTCTGAGTCAGGGGTATGGAGACGAAGAGTGAGTACTCCTTGGATGGATTTGGTGGTATTTGGAGAAATTGAAGAGGAGTCCAAAACACTGGATAACCAAGTAGTGGCAATCCAAACATACCCACTATCCATCATCCCAAGATCCCGGGCAACATCAAAAACAAGAAGACCGGTTTTTGTGTAAGTGTGCAGAACGATTACTCGAGATTCCATCAATCTAACCTTGAGTAATTCATTCTTAACATCATCCCACGTTGCTGTGGGATCAGGGGGGAGTACTGCTTTATAAGAAATTTTACCACGCCTCTCTGCAATCTTATCACCTAGTGCAGTTATGCCATTTCGGCTACCATCATCATCAGAGAAAATGGCAGTTACCTCTCTATAACCGAAATAACTAACCATTTCTGCAATAGCAGTCATCTGAAATAGATCATTTGGTGCGGTTTGGATGAAATAAGGGTATTGGAGAGGTGAGAGTGTGGGATCCAATGCTGTGAATGACAAGAGTGGGACATGGAGTTCATTTGCAAGATGCGAAAGTATATGGGCCATCCCCGAGGATTGGGGACCAATAATAGCAACGGTGTCAATCTCCATGAACTGTAATGCTGTGTGAGCAACAGAAGAAATGAATTAGTCATGAGAAACAAAGATCATCCCATCCCATCCCATCTAACAATGATAATGAACTTTAATTGGGTATATAATGAAATGAAAGAAAACACACACACACACACACACAAAATCCTAAAGATAAATTAAGATAATTACCCCCAATAATGCCGAGAAATCCACTATAGTTGGAATCATGCATGGAAATGGCCAGTTTTTTACCACCAAGAATGGTGGGATCAGAATTGACATCTTCCACCGCAGCATTCATGGCAATCCTTGCAACTTTTGCATTGATGGTGCTAAATGTGAATATAGATCCAATATTAATGACATCGGGTTTTGAAATCTCTTCACAGAATGCACCAATGAAGAGAAGGGATGATATATGCACCAGCCAAACCAAACCCATGATGATTCGATATCAAATGGTTAAGAACCTAGCCCCTGTTGTTTGCCTTCCCTAACCAAACATCTATCAAAATTGAAGAGAATATTAGCTGAAAAATCAAAGTTGCAAATAGAATTTTTTTTCTTTTCTTTCTGAAACTCTCAATGGAACAAACAGGAAAAGAGAACCTTAAAAACCACTAGTCAGAATTCTAAAAAGAAAGGGGGGAAAATTTGAAAAACCTCAGTGAACTCGGAATTAACCTTGAAAAAACAGAGGAATGGATTAGTGGCTGTGAAGAGAAGAAGAAAATTGGGGTGGTCCAATTTCTGAAAAGCACAGACAAGTCAATCAACTCAAGAAACTCAGAAGCATCCAGTTAACCAGTTTTTCAAAAAAGAGAAATCTGTCTCTACTATAAATCAAAAAAACAGAGCATCTTTGGATAAACTAGAAATACCCATCAATATTTGTGCAGGAAGGGGGAGAAAGAGAGATGGGTTGTTTCTTTCAAGAAGACCTACTGCTACTAGTGCCTACCCCAAAACAAGCATTCACAAAGGAAAGAGATTTATATCAAAATCAGTGGTAGGGCAGGGAAGCATGCGGATTTTCCACTTGAAAAAGAGAGGGAGGAATATGATGGTAGGAATGATGCAAGTGCTTACAAAGGATTGAAAGGGAAATAATGGGAATAAACAAATTAACCAATTAGAGATAGAAAATAAATAAATAAATAGGGAAACAAAAGAGAGCCAAGCAATGGAGAAGTGAAAAGGGTTACAGTTTCACGTAAAAGGGAAGAAAGCAACCTGGGCTTAGAAGTGGGGCACAGCGGCACTTTCCCATATTTAATCCCATATTTAATTATGAAGAAGAAGAAGAAGAAGAAGAAGAAAGAAAGAAATAAGGAATACTTCAACACAAAGACAGAGACAAGACAATAGAGAGAGAGAGAGAGAGAGAGAGAGAGAGAGAGAGAGAGAACAACTTGATAAGTTGGGTATTCCAGTTTCCACCACCACCTCCACCACCACCTCCACCAGTTAAGTTGGATTGCTTTTTGGGAATAACAGTCAACCCCATCAATATTAACAGCGTTGAAATCCTTGTAGATGGAGGAAGACTAGTTTTGAATTGCAGATTTAATTTAACTCATGTATCATCTATGTGATGCGTGTGTATACAAGACAGGACAGACACAGAATCTAATATGACGTGTTAATCGTAGATACGGTAATGACAACCATGGAAAATGATGGGGATGGGATGGGATGGGATGGGATGGGAGCTACTGGTTAAGAGAGCTGATGAAAAATATAAGACAATTTGATACACCCCACCCCACACATACTGCCAGAATGACTGATAAATTGTTTTCTTTATTATTGGATGGTGTCGTTTTCATGAATTAACGACTATGGAAGTGATGATAACGACGAGGACAGGAATATGAGATATTCTCATTGGTATGATTGAAAAGTGTTTCTCTGTTGCTGATGATGTTGTAGGTGGTGTGGTCTCTACCCAATTCTAATGTTTTATTTGTTTCATTAAAATGAGTTGAGATTTAATAATATCATAATTTATTAGGTTTTTAAAGAACGAATATTTTAATAAAATAATTATTTTATTTTATTCCATTTTCGTCTCTCCACTCAACCACCAAAATAGACAATTGAAGGGGTGTTGCTGGTGGGATTTTGTTATGGGTTGCTGTTGCTGCTGGCCTGTACTGTATGTATGCTGGTGGGACCCCTACCACTCTTCTCTCCCTGCTGGTGGCTTGGTTGGGTCATGGGTGGTGTGGAGAGAGAGAGAGAGAGAACCCAATAAGCCTAAAACTTTTTTTTTGAAAGAATCCCAACCAAACTCAACATGGTTTAAACATTATTTTATCTTTTTGTGAAGTTGAGGTTTAGAGGTCTTTCTTATCATCCTTTGCCTGTGGTGTCTGTCTTGTCTGGTAGTATACCCATATATTTGGTTACATATATATATATATATATATATAATATTCTCTTTCAAAAGATTGTCATCACCCGATGTTTCTCAGCCATTTGATGTTGGATTGCACACCCATTTTCACAATGGTCCCCCAACCAACTTTGGAAAAGCATGGTTGAGGTAAGAGATTTGGGAGAGAATCAGATCTTGAACTACTCGAAGGGGTTAGTTCCATGATGAGAACATTCATACTGTCCTGTATGCTCATGCTGCCACCAACTTATTTATTTATTTATTAAAATAATAAATGGAATGTCTTGTTGCTCTAAACACCATCAATCTATCTTCATCCTACTAATATTCTTTTCTTTTTTCTATTTTTGCGTGTGAAGAGGGGTGAGGCCAGCAGGCAGGCAAGCAAGAGGAGGATCAATGGAATGGAATGGAATGGAATGACAGCAACACAACTGGATTATGTGTCAAGCTAGGAACATTTTACAAATGAGACACAAACAAGAGAAAAATGTGAGACCCACGTGATGTGAGAAATGAGAAATAAAGAGGTGGTATCCCGCATGTCGGCACTATGAATATTTCAAGACTTCCTTTTTCTTTTTTCCTTTTTGTCAAATTGCAAGGCACTCACTCATCCACTACCATGTAAAAACTTTAGGGGGCCAGTTATCTGCTAATTTCTATATGAAACCAACGGCTGAATGAGTTCAAAGAGGCCTAAAACTTACCCCTGAACATTTGTATCCCTGAAAAATCCCAGCCAGGACCACAAGTCCAGGCCGTGAGATGCTCCTGTAGGTGGGGGGAGAGAGAGAGAACAGTAAAGCAAGACATACCCACCAAGTATGCCACCAGTATTTTCTGTTTCACATACAACTTCCAGGGCAGTTTCGATCTTGATTCTCAAGCCATGTGTACTTCTGATACGGTCAGACTTGCCGAATTTGGCAGCCAGCATGCTTACCAGTTCCATGATCAGGAAAGCCTAACGCAAAGAGAAGCATTCTGGCTATAATAGTGTGTGTAAAAACATCTAAAAAGAATTACAAATCTATGGCCATTTTAATCACCATAAGCCAAACAATAGTGAGTGCAAAAAATGTTTGCCACACTCAAAACATGCTCCAGGATAATAACGCCTGGGTAATCCAAAGACAAAAAGCAGTCTGGTGAACTTTTTGTACTATTTTAAAATCAACAAATTGGACCACAGGATCAAGTCCAATTCACCATAATAGGTGGAGAAGATTTGCAACTACACCCTGGCTCTACCAGCATTGATGTATATCTAAATTGTCTAACAGATTACCGTACTAGTAAAAAACAAGATAACATGAAAAACAAGCTTGCCTAAGTCAAATGAGGCACATACCAAGAAATAGTGTAATGCCTCGCTTTGAAGATATGGGTTGAACTCAACATAAAAATAACTTTAAAAAAACATTCAAAAACCCACAAAACTATCATTTTCTTCTGTATTCAATTGTGTTGTGTATTTACTTGTCTCAGGAAAATAACAACTTTGAGTACCATAAAGATGTGGCATTTTTTACAAATAATTTGAAGGTCTTACATGTGTTAAAGCAAAATCCATGCTTGTCAAGAAAATCAAGCAATAACAAGCATGGTTGTGGCTCTCTGTCTCTGTTTGATTAGAAGTGTAACTTTCCGTGTCTCCAACACAATTCTTTTGCAGAAGCCTAACTCTTGGATTATTTTCTCTTAACAAAATCTGTCAGTACGAGAGAGAAAGAGAGAGAGAGAGAGAGAGAGAGAACATTCATCATTAGTTCACATATTTTGACATAAATGAAAAAGAAGCATATGCATCTTCTAGATTATTGCTCAAAACCAATGCTACCAAACAAGATAAAATAAGGCATGCAATCACTAACCTCAATTGTTACTGAGCATGTTCAATTCCAAGCAGTTGGAAAGATTTTGGGCCAACAAGGAATACACGTCTTGGGGTTTGGTATCGAAAAACTACTACTCCTTTGTATGCTGTTCTTGGCACACCGTCCTGCGAAAAAAGGAAATAATACAAGGAGTCATTTCTAGGAAGAGGGAATGCAAACAAACAATTTTAAACGATGAGAACTACTGGCAGACCAGGCATACAATACACGTGGAAAATACCTTACTACTGTACATCATTAGGAAAACTATATTCTATATCTGCGTGTTAAGTGTATCAGAGCATGGGTGAGAAAGAGGGAGAAAATAATTTTGATATCAGTTACAGTTAGAAAATAATTTCATTACAGGGTGCTTAATTAACACAATCAAAACACCACACAACAGGATATTGCTTTACAAATTAGTCACTAGGAGGCAATAGCAACAATGTAACATTAAGATTTTCTTTATTTAATGGAGAAGAAGAATAATGCCAAAAGTTTTAAATGACATAGGTTCCACTGATCATTTTCTAAAAGCCAAAAAAGGTGTGTGTCGGTTCAAATAGCTGAATTGAGATTGAGCTTTAAGTATTGTATCCAAAATAATGACCCAACTCTCTCATTTTAAAATTCCAATGCATTTCATTGTTGATCTAGCAACCGAGCCTGTACTAGATCCAAATCAAATCAAATCAATTAAAAACCACCTAGTTATAGTTAGACAAAAGAATATGAATTGAAGTACCTTCCATTCCTCAAAAATGCCAAATTGGTGTGCAATGCGTTCAAAATCTGCCTGGTCTTTGTAATGGACACACACATCACCATCAATATTATATGCCTTCAGAACAGCATCAGCTCCATAGACAGGTTTTGCCTTTTTAACCATGTCAGCAAAGTGCTTAACATAATTATCCTACAAAATAATAACAAAAAAAAGGATTAGGCAAAAATATAGAAAAAACTGAGTTCATCGCAGATGATCATTTTTGCATATATCTTATTGGTAAGCTGCATGTATCTTATACCTCCATCATGTAGCTCAGATCCATCGACTTCCAATCAACCTTTTCAGCAAAATTAAAAAATCATTGATGCTGTGAGAAATTTATACAAACTAAGACCAGATTTTTTTAATTTTTTTAAAATGCAGAAGAAATAGTCACATGCCTGGACATCGTTCAGCTTAATTGGCTCAAGATATTGTTTGAAAAACTGGCCCAAACTAGAACCCTGCAAGGAAACCACCGTAAGACTCAGAGAAGAAAGGTTTTAAGAAAACCAATTGCAGGGAATGATGACTTATAATTGATGTTAAATGTCAAAATCGTTTAAAGGAAACGCCCTCACAGTACAGGAAATATAAGATATCTCAACCCTGTTTGGTTGAGTTTTCTAAAAAACTAAAGACTAGTTTGAAAAAATAAAAAACACTCATCATTTTCATATAGTTTTTTCCTTTTTTGGGGTGAAAATGTTTTTTGAAATTTTGAAAACATTTTGTTGGTGCTTTTTCGTCAAACTAGTTTCTACTTTAAAAAAAGAGAGAGAGAACAAATTTTGAAAACTCAACCAAACAAATTCTGCCAAAACAAAGATAATGATATGTAGAATTTAATTGGTGGTCAGGAAATGAGTGAACAATTGTAAAAATTGATGTATTATTGATTTATATATATTGTGTTTACAATGAGTCCTATATATAGAAGATTAAAGGAGGTAGGTATGTAGTAGGTGGAGTAGGTGAAGTGGGTGGAGTAGGTGTAATGGTAGGTTTTGGTACATTTTAACAACAATGTAGTGTGTGCATGGGTGCATGCATTAAGGATGTTTGTGTGTTTGAGAGAGAGAGAGAGAGAGAGAGCCATATTCAATAATTTGTTTGTATCCCACAAAAATTACAGAACTACAAATGCAATGATAGTAATTTAGGCTAGCATACATTTTTTCCCCCTAAATAATAACCATATTAGAAAACCTAGTCAATAGAAATATAAGTAAAAAAAAGAAACACGATTTAAACAATCACTGCCATGGCAAACATGAAGCAAGACACTATTTGGGAAATTGGGGATCAAATGGGAAAGTTTACTGGGACAACTAAAAACCTTTAGTCAAACCGACACAACCATGAAGAAAGTTGTGTGGTAAATTGTGGTGTAAACTAATATGACTATCAAAAGAATTTCCAAAAGAAAACTAAGAAACAAAAATTTAGAAACTTATAACACAATTATCTCATGATTATTGAGGAGGACTACAAAAATACAAACAAAGCAAAAAAAAAAAAAAAAAAAAAAAAAAAAAAAAAAAAAAATTATGGGGAAAACAATTGTAATTAATTTCCCTCCCATTTCCTATAAGCATTTTCAAGAAGCTCCCAACTAGTTTCACAAGAACTCCTAGAATGTATCCAAACTGTTTCTCAGAGGTTTCCCTTAAAATTTCTTTAAAGTTGCCTTCTACATGGGTTTCTCAGGAACATGTTTCCAACTTGTTAGACTACTGAATTTTGTTCTTTCGTTCTATTGTTAATATTTACTTAAGTTGAGGGTACGATGGTCATATTACTATGTTAGGGTTTTGTATATATATTTGACTGATGTAAAGTTGAGGCTAATGCTTATTTCAATATATAAAACTTCTTCTTCTTCTTCCTCCTAAATCCCAACCCTAAATTCTTTCATTTTACATTCTAACTTGGTATCATATCAGAGCAACCTATTCTTCATCAAAAAGGTTTCTACAGACTCTGGAGATCGATCTGAGGTGACCGAGATGTGCTGATGTCACCAGCCGTACAATGACGTCAGTATGACGTAGGCACTGTACGAACGAGTCCTTCACCCCTAGACTCGAAATTGCCTCCTGATATTTATGGTGATTTTTGCAGAATTTTTTGATCATCCTTGATGTGAGTTTCTTATGATCGCCTCTCTCTTGGTCTTCAGTCGTTTGCTTGTAGTTTGTCTAGTATTTCCATTCCCCGCACCTATCAGCAGGCTATGTCCATCTCTGGTTGGAAGCATGCCATGGATGGGGAAATGCACGCTCTTCATCAGAATCAGACGTGGGAACTTACCTCTCTACCGTCTAGCAAATCTATTATGGGTTTTCGTTGGATCTATACTGTTAAGTATCTTCCTAATGGAACTGTTGAGCGACTTAAGGCTCGCTTGGTAGCTAAAGGCTACACCCAGACCTATGGTGTTGATTACTTGGAGACTTTCTCTCCTGTGGCTTGTCTTAATTCTGTTCAGATTCTTCTCTCTGTTGCAGTTAATCAATCTTGGCCTTTATATCAGCTTGATATCAAGAATGCCTTTCTCCATGGTGATCTCCAAGAGGAAGTCTATATGGATCAACCCCCTGACTATGTTGTTCCCGGCCAAGAGCATCTTGTTTATCCATTGCGGAAGGCCTTGTATGGTCTTAAGCAGTCCCCTCGTGCCTGGTTGGATCGCTTCACTGCTGTTGTGCTTGCCTATGGATTTCACTGTTCCGCCTTTGATCACTCTGTTTTTGTTCGCCACTCGTCTACTGGGAGTATTGTTCTTATTGTCTATGTGGATGACATCATCACTTCAGGGAGTGACTCCACTGGTATTGCTGATTTGAAACAGTATTTGGGACAACAATTTCACACCAAAGACTTGGGCCTTCTTCAATATTCTCTTGGGATTGAAGTTGCCTGCTCTTCTCAGGACTTGTTTCTTTCTCAACGGAAATATGTTCTTGATCTTCTTACTGAGACTGGCCTCTTAGGCACTCGCCCCAGTGATACTTCCATGGATTCTAGTGTCAAGTTTGATGGTGACACTGGAGATTTATTACCCGATGTTGGTCGTTATCGTCGGTTGGTTGGGAAGTTAATCTATCTCACTGTCACTCGTCTCGATATTACCTATGCCGTGGGTGTAGTCAGTCAATTTATGAATGCTCCCTGTCAACCCCATTTTGTGGTTGTGTGTCGTATCTTGCAATACTTAAAGCGTGCTCCTTGTCAGGGTTTGCTCTATCGCCCCTCTTCCTCTTTGTCTGTCACTGGCTTCAGTGATGCCGATTGGGCTGGTAATAAAACTGACCGTTGTTCCACCTCGGGCTATTGTACTTTTGTTGGTGGTAATCTTGTTACTTGGCGTAGCAAAAAACAGACTGTTGTTGCTCGTTCTAGTGCCGAGGCTGAATATCGTGCCATGGCTCATACTGCTTCTGAGATGCTCTGAGTTCAATCTTTTCTCCAAGATTTTGGTTTTTCTGTTCCCACTCTCATAACCATGTCTTGTGACAATCAGGCTGCTATCTTCATTGCCAATAATCCTGTGTTTCATGAACGCACCAAACATATCGTAGTTGATTGCCATTTTATTCGTGATCTCTTACTCCGCAAACAACTTGTGACTCCTTATGTTCGTTCTGAAGATCAATTAGGTGATATTCTAACCAAGCCTTTGGCTCGGCTTTCGTTTCATCGTTTATCCGTCAAGCTGGGCATGTTCGATCTCTATGCTCCAGCTTGAGGGGGAGTGTTAGAATACTGAATTTTGTTCTTTTGTTCTATTGTTAATATTTACTTAAGTTGAGGGTAAGATGGTCATGTTATGTTAGGGTTTTGTATATATATTTGACAGATGTAAAGTTGAGGCTAATGCTTATTTCAATATATAAACTTCTTCTTCTTCTTCCTCCTAAATCCCAACCCTAAATTCCTTCGTTTTACATTCTAACTCAACCTAAAACTAACTTTTCCGGAACTGCATGACCCAATAGTGTACACTGGGTTAGAAGATCATGTCTATTATTTAGACAATCAACGAAGTGTACACAACTGCACAAATCTTTGCATTGTCACTAGCACAGCTGTCAAGAATCCACATATTACGATATGTAAAAGAATCTTTCTCCGTGATATCATTAGATGAGATTTGGTACACTGTGAAAGCAGTGAATATCTAGCTCGTTTCAGCATACAGATTTGTAGTTAATAAAAGAAAGAAAAAAATTAACTCAAAGACACTTTAAAGCAATCAAAACAATAAAATATTTATGTTTTTCTGTGAGCTTCTTGCTTCAAGAAAGAGTAGCAATTCTGGAGGTGCTATGAACACATACAGATAAATAGACTTTTAGAAGTATACGACTAAATAGTTCAAAGCATAAATTTTCCAATTTGAACACACAATAATGGCTTGGATAATTAATATTATGATACTGATACACAATTGTAGGTGTACATACATGCTCACCAAAATTATATGTTCTGCACACTTCAGGACGAATAAACTGTCGACCTTTGTGATTCTCTTTCAACCTCAACCAATCATCCCAGTAAGTGAAATTTTTTGTCAAAGAAAATATTTTAAAAGAGATGCATCAAAACGATATGTAAGTTAGACCAACAAACTATAACCCACTAAATCAATAAGGATATGCTTTTGGCCACTTTGGAGAGAGTTCATCCCATATAGATTTAGACAGCATCCACCCAAGTCCGGGGAAAAAATCTGAACGGTAAAGCACATCTGCAGAGTATTATAAAGCTGATCAGAAAGAGCTTTTCCAAGTTTACTATGCAACATTTGTCAAAGGAAAAATTTATATTCGCCAGCCTGCCAGGATAATTTCCAGATACAAGTATAAAGGGATACAACGGCACACAAACAAAAACGTCCATAAAATAAGCATCTAACTGAAATAGAAACGTTATGGATAAGCGAAAAAACTATCTTAGAATCAGAAACTCATTGTTTTCATGGGAACTAACTGAAAGTGTAAAGCAGCGAGAAGATAAAACGAGGACCTAGGCAATGATTTCATGAGTAATAAAACTCGCTGACATCACCACTACGGAGTGATCCAAGGGTGAAAAGTTCATTGCTTGATGAGTTGTGCCATTTGTGTGCTCACTCAAAACATAGAAAACTCAATGGGGGGAAAGAAATTACGAGAGGTTACAGGTGGCACCAATTTTCTAGCATCCCATATATAAGTATCACTGATTAACACCAAGGGGTTGGCCTGATGATCAAGGCCTGGGACTTGGGGGTGTGTTCCCTCCGTGGTTTCAGGTTCGAAACCTTCTAGTTGCAAACAATTTCTTGGGGCAGACTATATAGGGCTTTGGCCGATTTTAATTGGACCCCCCACTAGTGGACGGTGGGATTGGTCCCCTGGATCAGTCAGTTTGATTGAGACAGATACTGAGTAATCAAAAAAAAAAAAGTACCACTAACTGCAAAAGTAAACACTGCCGGCAAATTTTTAGGAACTAGAGGGTGAGGATAAGCTGAAGGCTATGCATTGAAGTATAGAGTGAAACAAGACCATCAACAATTTACTTTAAATGATTCATAGAGAGGAGCCTTGGAATTGGATTCTTTGGATTCAATCGCAAAATTCACAAATCCATAATAATTAGAACAAGGTTTTGTGGGATTGGAATTTGGGAACCAACCCCAAATCTTCCGTGAGTCCCCAAATGATTAGAATTAATGATGCCGGACAGTCCACGTGAAAGGAGCAACAAAAGGAAATAAATAAACAGCTACAAATAAAACAAATAAAAACAAAAACCTAACAATGACAATATTCTCAACTCATTTTATGCAATTTCATTTATTTTTGGGATTTTCTTATTTGACCTATTTTTGGTAGGCCTATAAATATTAGGCTTATTGTTATTGGAACACACCTTTGATATTGAGAATAAAATTGAGGTGGGAATATTGTCATTGTTAGGGGTTTATTTTTATGGATCTTTATTTCTTTTCTTTCCGTTGCATGTTTCACGCCAACCATCCGACATCAAGAGCAAAACCGCAAACTATCACCACCAACTCACACCATCATATCCTCATCGATTGTCTCAGCAAGAGCAGTACTCATAACAGAAGCTTTCAGCCAACGTCTGATCTGCCATAATCCATCGGAACTTCAACACAGTCGATTCAGCAACTGTTGTTCATTGGTAGCACATTGTTAGACACTCTAAACCAAGAAAGCAACCACAATAACCATCAGAAATCTCAGTTGAAACTACACCATTGCTGCCTTGCATCATCGCTGCTGCCATGGCCATCATAAAAGCAGTTGGTTTCTATCATGGTCTCTAAGGAAGATGACTGAAGATGGTTAAAAACTGGCTTTTTGGCCTTTTTTTGACTTTTTTTGAAATAACGTGTAAAAAATGTGAGAGGTGATATGATCCAAAATAGGTTAAAAGCTGGCTTTTGGCTATTTTAACTCTTCCCAAAAGAGCCCTATTTTGGGAAGATGGTTAAAAGCATCTTCCAGCTTTTAACCCATTTTGAGTCTCACAATCTCTCATATTTTTTACACAATTTTTTTTAAAAAGCCAAAAAGAGCCAAAAAGCCAGCTTTTAACCATCTTCCTAACACTTAAACCCGAACCAACAAAGCTACATCCAGAAACCAGACCAAAACCCACAAACCCAGTCAACCCAGTTCAAAAACAAAAAATCAGCAGGGAAAAAAATATAAATAAAAATAACAAAATTGACAATATTCTCAACTCAATTTTATTCTCAATATCAAAGTTGCCTTTCCAACAAGTCTAATATTTATATTCCAACCAAAAAAGGTTCAAAAAAGAAAAGAAATAATAAATTCTCAAATAAACAAAATTACATAATTAAAGCAAATGCAAAAGATCAATTTTTAAACGTGTCTCTTTGAAGGGGCTGGAGCAAATAATACTAATCTGGTCAACATAACAATTACAATGCTTCACAAGAACCAGCGAAGCAAAAATATCTCTGGATTTAAAGCAAAATGATTATACTAAGGGTAAGTATTACATTGGTTTCTCAATCAGCTATGCTAGAAGAAAAAATATATAGCAATAAAACTTCCAAATGAACTTACAAGGATCATGCACAAACTGCTTTTGTCCATTGTCATTCCATGAAGAAACCGCCATGATGGACCTATAATGGATTCATGACAATAAAATGCAAAAAAGATAATTAGAGATTGTGGAGCTCTGATCTTGAAGTTCAAATAATGAAATGTAGCTAAGATCATAACTTCATAACAGGACTCACTTATCACTATCAAGGAGTGTGGCTGCAGCCTCAAAATAGTCAAAGAAATCAGGGGCAATTTCCATATCATCTGTATTCCATGAAAATAAATTTTAGAAAATTGTTTCACAATTCCCACTGAAAAAGAAAAGGTAAGAAGATAGTCCAAAGCAAGATTGTTGCACCTTCAAGTATGATAACTCGACTAAAATTATGTTTGTAAAACAATTGATCCATTGCCCATTTGTAATGACCTAGAAAACACAAGCATTAACATAATGTTCAACAATGAAGCTTGAAGAAAACTTACAAAAGTTAAGAAAAAGGAGAAACCCTTACGTGCAATCTTGTAGTATGCAATCAATTCCCCAGGCCTCTCAGTATGCACTGGTTCATAATCCAAGTGCTGCAACCAACTGAAGTTACTCTTCAAGCATATATTTAAAATATGAAAAGCTTCTTTTCATTAGAAACAAGTTAGCCAATCCACTTTTTTGTGGAACATGGGTAATATTCTCAAGCACAGGTTCAAAAGGCTCTCCATGTTAAACCTCAAGCACAAGGAAAAAGGCAACATGTGTTGAATATAAAAATTAGAGTACATAGAATCTTTTTATTTTTAGTATTATGTATATAATCTGTGATTGTATCAATTACTGATTTAGTATTGTTTCTTTAATTAAATCGTTTCTTAAATCGTATCATGAATCTTTTATATATAAATGATCTCTACTTCAATCATAAGTAAGCCAAATAATTTTTTTCATTCTTTTTAGTATCAGAGCTAGATTAAGTACCTAGTAATTTTGCTTCACTGGCAGGCGGCAGCCTTTGCCTTGGCCTCTTGCCGAACCTCAACCCACCCCACTGCCATATTTTCTTTCAGTATCACTTTGTGATCTCTTCCTCTATCCACTAGTTTATTCTTATCCCAAATATCTCTATCATATATTTTTTTTTACTTGCAATACATTTTGTATGTGTTTCTGTTCTACTTTGTCTTTCCCTCTATTTCAACCTCAAATAGGTTTCTATCTTCTAACATATTTGAGTTTGAGGGGAGGTATTATACCTATATTATGGTGAGCATGGTAATATACCATGTGAACCACCCAAGCTGCCCCCTCCGGTTCACAACCCAAGTCGCCCCCTTGGCGCACCACCTAAGTCACCCTCTCTGGCACACAACTAAAGCCGTCTCCTCTGGTGCACCACCAAAGCCGCCCCCCGACGCACTTTCTAATAAGCCGCCCCTTGGCGCACTCAGTTATTTGTTGCCATCATTGTTCAACACCACGTTATAAGTTATGTGTGCGCCACGCTTGTTGGTTCAACATCTAGTTTTCTACATCGGTTCTATATTAGCCCTTTAAACTGTCTCGACATCGATTCCAGTTAGTCTCTACAACGGTCTAACATGACCCCTTAAACTGTCCCGACATTGAAACCGGTTAGTTCCTATAACGGTCCAGCATGACCCTTTAAACTGTCCTGGCATCGATTCTGGTTAGTTCCTACAATGGTCCAGCATAACCCCATAAATTGTCCCGACATTGATTTTGATCAGTACCTACAATGGTCCAACATGACCTTAAACTGTTCCGACATTAATTCCGACCAGTTTCTACAACAGTCTGGTATGACCATAAACTATCTCCCGGCATTAGCTCTAGCCTCTAATGCTGACTAGGGTCTTGTTGGTTGCCGACCAGAGTGTTTCCTAGCTATAGACACTTCGGCAGCTCTTCTAGGGTAGTTCAGTCCCTATTTTTTTCTCCCTTTCTAGGGTGTAGTGCTGATGTATTAAGCACTTTTTGACTTTTTTTATTTAGTGGATTACCAAATTTGTTCGGTAGCATTTATTTAGACTAACCGTTGAGTCTTTTCCAACTTCTTCCAGTCATCCATTGGCAAGCTGGGATTATTGAATATCTTCACACTAGCTTGAAGGGGAGTGTTGAATATAGAAATTAGAGTAGATAGAATCTTTTTATTTTTAGTATTAAACATATAATCTGTGATTGTGTCAATCACTGATTTAATATTGTTTCCTTATTTATATCGTTTCATGATTTATATCGTTTCTTAAATCATATCATAAATTTATTATATATATATAGCATCTACCTCATTAATGGGTAAGCCAAATAATTCTTTTCATTCTTTTAGATGATGCTCAAAGAAAGAACCTCAAGGCACAACCTTGAGGCTTAACAGGCTTTCAGACCAAGTAAGAGACACTCATCAGACTTCCCCTTTGACTTCTGTTTGTAATATGCACCTCTTATGCTAATGGAGGATAGTGACCTAGCCATTTGCAGCCCCACCAGCTATAGTTATAAGTGGACCTGAATAAACTCGGATCAAGGCTGAAAATGCTCATAGAACATGATTTTGTTCAGAAATCTGTTTTAATGATTTGCTTTAAAATTTAAATAATTATAAATTTATATTCTTATTTCATAACTACTAAATTTGTAATAAAAATTCTCCATTACATATATAGGATCGAACTCGTAAGCTTTGGGCTCTAAGAGAAAAACTAGGAAAGATGGAATTGAAAATTCAAAAAATATATATTTTTTAAATTTTATTCTCTCCAAAATTTTCCTATGTCTTCTATTATAGTTGATTTATATAAGATTTTAATTTATTTTACTTGACTCCAAATAATACAAGTGCTTACTAAAAAATATAATAATACTAGTACAGAAACTTTTGTACCTTAAGAAAATCCATGGACACCGAAAAAAAAACCCACCAAAACCAACTCGGTGGTCTCACACTTAACCAAATGTATGTACATAATTAGAATTTAATCGAATCAGCCTCATATATCATCTTTTTCGAAATTGAGCAACTGACTTTCCTAAATAAAAACAGGTCTTCTATTTTACGGTTAAAATATTTTAAAAAATGTACATATCATGCATTTTGAATGAATTTTTATATGTTTACTTTCTTCATTATTTCATAATTTCAATGTATTTTAGCTCATGGAAACATTTTATGTTCAATATGCTATGGCTAATATATCACAATTTGACAATCAAAGCCAACTCTTGACACAGTGCCATTTTGGGAAGATGCCAAAAACGCGTTTTTGGCATTGTGAAAAAAAGCTGTCTGGCCGAAAACGCTGCCTTGTTGCATTTGGCGAGTGACAAAAAAGTTACCCTGTGAAATTACCTAAATACCCTCCATGTTAACAAATTACTTAAAATTTCAAAGTTTGGCAAGGGTATATTGGTCATTTTATTTTGATTTGATGCCATAAATAAATATTAAACCAAAAATCAAGAAAGCCAGCTTTTTACCAACTTCCCAAATCACCCCCAAAAAAGCCAAAAAACTTGGTAAAAAGCCAAAAGCTAGCTTTTACCAACTTCCCAAAACACCTCACAGATAAGTGCATAAGCACACAAATGCAATATTTTGGCCTCATTTGTGAAGTTGGCTATTTTCGTAGGTCATTTTAGTTTTTGGCTATTTTAGTAGGCTAAAATTTGTGTGTTTGGGAAGATGGTTAGATTTTTTTGTAGTTGGATGTAATGTATGTGAGAGAAAAAGTGAAATGATTATGGGTTTGATATGACATTTTGTCTTGTTAGCTATTTTAGCCTATTTTGTCTTTTTGTGAATTTTAGCCCCAAAAAAAAAAGCCAAAAAGCCTCTTGCCAAACAAGGCCTTTATTTGTCCCTCTAAAGAATCATTTGATGGCATAATTCATTCAACAGAAGTACGAGTCGATGAAATTTTGCTGAACCATGTTCGTTATCAGCATGCCATGCTGGAAAATGAAAATAATTTACCTGCATGTAAGTTAGCTGATTGTAACTCAAAGCCTTACTTCTGACATGAGGATCTTCTCCATCCTACAAAAAAGTAGAAGCTTTAGGTGCCTTGTCCATCCTAAATCCTTGTCAAACGAGTAATATTTATACGAATCAAACAAATCTAAACTTGTGTTTAGAAGAATCTCTATACATATATAGGTACCTGGGATACAAAAAGGGGATACTTTGAAGCAACAGAACTTTGGTACCTGGAGAACACAAAGAATTTGGTAAAAATGGGTCCACTGAAGTATGCTCAACTTAATCAGAAGCACTAAAAAAAGCTCACAAATGTAAGGCATACTTTAGTATAGATTCAACAGTCCTTCCAAGATAATCAGCACGATTGCAAGCCATAATCACGACTGCTGCCATTGGCACCTTATAGTTGAGAAAAGAGGATGCATTGCATGGTTAGAACCAATGACGAATTAAAAGGAAACCTCCATAGAAAAAAGAGAAAATAAAACAAAATAGAAGAATTGAAAAGAAAACCTCCACTCCATCCAAACCTGTACTTTGTCAATTATTTTCTCAAGGCCTTTCCCTGCAACATGAAAACATATTAACTGTCATACGACTCATATCAAGCACACACATACCAGGGAAATAATGTGCAGGGAAATAGTGTAACAGACTGTCCTTTTCAGTGTACAAGGTTCACCTCCACTAAGGCACATTTGCTTATATTAATTTTGCTTTTATTAAAAATAAATAAATAAAGATGATGTGAATATTTCCTGAATGTGCCAAACAGCTACACCTGATATTGTGACATATGTATTAGAGTACCTTGTATCAAGAATATTAGCTGGGAAAAAAGAAGAAGAGAAGGCCACAAATAACACCACATTCTCTCTCCAATCATACTATATAGTCTGTAAGTAGGATCTAATAAGCACAAACACGCGACACGACACTGACGTTTTTTCTCCACTGCTTTTCCTTTTGTCTTTTTTTGCTTTTTTTTCTTTCTTTCTTTTTTTCTCCTTTTCCTTTTTTTTATTTTTTTTTTTGGTTGTTGTTGTCTGTGTATGTTGAAATGAGGTAGAGAAGATGTCTTGTTTAAGAGCAGTAGTACCATGACAGTATGGCTCATGTTATCTTTAATATAACAAAATGTCAAGCAGAAACAACTTTAATAAGAGACATCTGTGACTAGTTCAGAAGTCAGCTTTGTATCAATGTCCTTCAAAATAGGAAATCACTGATAGACGTGTCACCACTTGACTTTTCCATGAGACAATCAACCAAAAAAGCATTTTTCATCTCTCTTTTTGTTCACATTTCTTTATCTACTGGTCGCGTTTACCAACTGCCTGACACGTTTATGAAGATGAAGGGAGAGTTTAACGCTGCATCCGATTATTTTCTGGTTGGGTTGAGAATCCAATAGGGATGACAAGTTACAAACCAGCTATTGGATTCTTCAGTCATCATTTCTCATGAACCAATATCTATGGACTCTGGTCCTTTGTAAACGAACTAGTATAACCTCTGGGTTTTCCATAAATGCTTTGACTTCTAGCTCTTATCATTTTTTGCATTGCATTTACAATATAATGTCAACAAACATGAGCATAGAAACGAGGCAAGCACAAGAAACTGGGCCCTTCAACACAACATAAGTTTCCATGAATTTTTTCCAACAAAATCACCAGTCCAAACATAAATTATTCCCATTCTGATATTTTCTGAAATTTCACAAAACTTTCATGTTTTTGCATACTTTGCTATAATGTTTCATTGTTTTGCCTAACAAATGACATTATAATCAATACATCATCAATTTTCCTATTCTTTTGAGATTATATTGTGCAATCCAGAAGATCAGTCTGTTGTATATGGTTAGGACCTTGCACACACCATATGGACAACCAATTATATAATGTGTATCTTCAATAGACAAATTTTCTACACTGATATTTTCTGAAATTTCACAAAACTTTCATGTTTTTGCCTACTTTGCTATAATGTTTCATTGTTTTGCCTAACAAATGACATTATAATCAATACATCATCAATTTTCCTATTCTTTTGAGATTATATTGTGCAATCCAGAAGATCAGTCTGTTGTATATGGTTAGGACCTTGCACACACCATATGGACAACCAATTATATAATGTGTATCTTCAATAGACTAACCGAATGGAAAAGATCACACTGCATTTAGACTGAATATTATCACAAAGAATTACTACTAGAATTACTTGTTACAGATAATACTACTTGTTATGTGTTTTATAGAGAGGGGAAAACAACTACTCTGGAAACAAACAAGGGGAAAGAGGCCTTTATTAATAAGAACATACTTTCAAGATCTTGAATAAGAGACCTCAATTGTCTGCACTCCTGGTCTTGGCGATTCCTTTTTTCTGAAATAGTAACAGGGTCTTAGTTGTAGAATGCCAGATAAGTAGTGGATTTCTCTTCGCTAATAAAAGGAATCAACATTTGAAATCTAAAATCAAAGAAAAGATTGAATGGGTCAGTATCAGCTACTTCTACCATTATTCAAAATAAAAAGTGGCAAAAAAAGGCAAAGAGAAAAAAATAAAAATAAGCTCGAGTAAAAAAGATATGCAGTTGGCCTTTTGAGTAACAATAGCATAAGGGATATTTTAATACGTCGTAATAACAAGATTACCAGATATAACCACTGGCAATGCCTTTACTAAGAATAGCTAGCAATGCCATTACAAAAGAATAACTATTTTAAATAACTATTTTACCAACTGTCCAGCAAGAACAACTCTGTGTGGTCTTTTAAAGAAGCGGAGATTCGCTTCATGTCCCAAACTCCAGATGTTTCTGTTATATGTTGAATTTTCTTAATGAATTTATCATATGGAAGATTAGCAATTATCAATCTTCCTAAATTCATTACTTTCCATGTTGAAAAGCATAAAATACTCTCAAACATAGTGACAAGAATATCTCATTCAAATCCAAGAATACAACAAAATCTCCAGTTCGTCAATAAAAAAATACTTCATTTTTTTTCGTTTTTAGTTTCTTTTATATATATTTGTAGTTTGCTATGAGAACATGGAAAAAAAACCAAAGTCAAACACCCTCAGTTTTCCCTACTCCCTACAATTTTCTAGCAAAAACTGTTGAATTGAAGCTCTCTCCCTCTCTCACCGTTCAAGCTATATATAGATCTTATGTACAAAAGTGTAATTTCATATACACTTGTGGCCCAAAAACTGGTCCTTGAACCACCCACGTAAAGAAGCATGAAAGAGACCCAATAAACAATAATTAAGGGCTTGTTTGGTATCATTTTCATTTTCTGTTTCTGTTTTCATTTTACATAAAATAAATAAAACTTGTTTGGTGAACTATTTGAAACCAACCCAGTTGTAGGAAACCCCAAAAGTTGTTTTTGAATTCTCAAAAACTGTTTTCATACCAAAAATGAAAACAATGGATGTTTTCAAACCTTTCATTGTTTTGGTTTCCAAAAACACAAAAAACAAAAGTGATACCAAAAGGTCCTATGTTGCTCGACTATAATTTCATTCCCTTTCACATTATTAGTGCCTTGTATAGATATCTCTAATAATATAAAGAACTTTGTAATCAACCAGTATTGATGCCCAAGCATAACCTAAGGAGTCTCAATCTACAAGGCAAGGTGTTGGCTAAGTGATGCTCATTACATACCCATTTAGATGTACCATTGAGCAAATAAAAAAAAAAGAAACAACGAAGTGCCAACAATCATTAGCATCTTTGTACACATGTTTAATCCAACTAAAATACAAACAACAAACATGCTTACTTAGAACAAGATTCATATTGCCTTTACTCAAACTCCTTCCTTTGAATGGAAGTAACAGATAAAATCAGAGAGAGAGAGAGAGAGAGAGACTAGTATAGCATTTCAAAATACAGTACACCTTCTAAGGCCACAATTTGCCCTTGTTGCATGCTTATCTGATCAATTAGTAACCGCATTTGACTCGTACAATGGCTTTCTGATTCCATCTGTGATGATCAAATTAACATCATATATAAGAAAGTGGACAACTAGCACGTCTGGAAATGATCAAAATTTTGCCAGATTAACAGATCCAAAGACACCCAGAGACTATTAACTAAAAGGAATATAAAGAAATTACTAAGCATTTTAACAAATGAATTATAATTTTTCTCATAAAAAACTACACACATGGATTTATGATAGTTTGCTTCAAATACATGCACAAGAATTCAAGTGCACTAATCTGGATCAAATTTAAAAAGGGTTGGCTGAAGGGGATGAACACTAGTGAATCAGCTAATTACCACATTGACAATAGTATCACACCAACCACATTGACAATAGTATCACACCACCCACATTGACAATAACATTGCACCACCTGTGCCCTTTTTGAAGCTTATACTGCACTTCCAGCTTCATTCTAATCAAATAGGATTATTTAGTTGGTGTATAATCCAAAGAATTTATATCTGTATGTTTTACTACATAAAGCACTATTCTGTTATGTGATGCCAAGCATCCATGACGAAGTAATCTTGTATGCAAACAACACCATAACCAAGATAATGTAACCAGAAAATGGATTACACAATCAATTTCAAATCCAGGTTACGCAACCTGAAAGGTAGTTGATTGCACAAAGAGTTCAAGAGAAACTACCACATAGAAGATCTATCCCCTAGATGTGCTATCAAAATACATCTCATGAAAGCATATGACTCAATAGATTGGGAACTTCTCTTTTATATTATGGAATGATATAGTTCCCACACAACTGATAGAATGAGTAAGAGAATGCATTACAACTCCTAAATATTTAGTGGTCTATGTTACATGGACTCAGGTACATGTCTCGAGTGCAGGGTCTGTGTCTAATCTAAGCATCCAAATGAACTAATTCCCATGTCCAAGGCACAGGAGCATGACAAAATATTTGTAAGAAGCATACCACATATCATAACAATCTATGTTTCATATAACATTCAACAAAGATGATTTTATTATCAAAGAGGTTTGCTGATAAATAAATAAAAACAACAGCCTGAGTGCTAATCAAAACATAGTATGGTCAACCATGAATATGATCCTAGAGATTAGACAATAGCAACATAACATAAAATCGCAGACTACATACACACACATATATCACTCATATTCTTAAAAAAGGTTAATAATTGATACACAAATGCCAGTCTTGAAGTGAAATTGGCTGTACATACCGCAGCAGCAAGCCGATCAGCATATTCTGACTGTGTAGCAAAAAGGCGCATCTGGAAGAAGAAAGAAAGAAAAAAAGAGAGGGAAAAAAACACTTGCAATAATTAGTAATAACAGAAATATATATATATATATATAACTCCAATAATAGGCGAATATAAGTCTTGAAAAAAGCAAATTTGATTAGCTTATATCAAATAAGAATGCAAAGTGAAACAACATCAGAAGCAGGTGAAATGCGCAAATAGGAAGCAAATACCAAAACAGTCATGCTATATCACATCTGCAAAATTGTATACAACAATGAACATAAAACAGATACTTGTTCACAATATTGACAATTGATAATGAATGGCAGGGACAATGAAATGAATTTGTTTAAGAAAAATGTGAAAGCTACAAGTCTGAAAAGGCTTGACAAAAAAATGGTTCTATTTTTTGACCAAATATGCTTTGCTTTTTTAAGATTTTATCATCTGGGAGAAAATCAAACCTTCTAGAATTGTGGCAGTTTTGGAAGAAATCTATGAGAACATAATAAGATCTTCACCCAAATATATGTGTGTGTGTGTGTGTGTGTGTGAAGAAAACTAAGCAAAAAAAATAAATTGAATAACAAAATTCACCCTCCCATGAAGTCAAATACCCCAAAAAATTCCATAAAAATTTGCAACAATCATGAAAAAATTAATTCTTTGAAACAGATTAGTATGCGACCAAAATACAAGCAATTCCAATTCCATGCTGCCAATCGTTATCGCACCCTAAGATAGTATTTAGTTCATTAGAACGGAAGTGGAATGTCCATTCTCACATTTGTTCACTGAAAAAAATTATAAAAGATGCATTGCAAATGGAATCATTATTCACCATTGTAAATAAATGATCATTTCATAAGGAGGCCATTCTACCTTCATTTCTGTGAATCAAACACTACCAAAGGTCTTGCACTGTTATGTATGGCACAACACCACCAAATGAAAGAAAACAAACATTTCCACTAATAGCCATTCTTTCTGCCGGGCTAGTGCAGACTCAAGGCAAGAAGTAGCAACTCCTTGGCAGCGAGTCTCTCCATTTCATCTGGGAGATGGTTTGTCTCTCAAATTTCAACCGGAGACCTCTGAACTCTCTATCAGCTGGTGATTTCGTTGGGCAATGGCATAAGATGGATCTTTCAATAACTTCCGGCTACAAGAGGGAAGGAAACAATTCTCATGATACAGATTCTGATATTGTTACAGATGATTTGAGTGATTGTGTGGGCTTCTATTCATGCGGTAACTTTGGTTGACCTCAATTGGGGGCTTCAAAGAGGGATGAAGTGGAGACCTTTGTGAATGTCAAGAATACACCATGGCGGGGAGGTGGTCCCCAGTACCTCTGTTATCAGAATCTTACGATTCACGATTCGATTCGCAATTTTTGCAATATCGATACGAATCTATTGGTGGATCTATTTTGGAAGTGAATCTCTAGTGAATCGCACGATTCACAATCGATTCACGATTCGATTCACTTTTCACGATTCATGCAACTTTTGAAATTATTGTGTCCGACATATTTTCGACTCTTTTTTTCTCCATCTTTTTAGTGAAAATGGCATAATACAACTTTTAATAGCGTTTAATACCAAAATAACCAACATATATACATGATTTATTGTTATTTTAGCGATCATGAAGTTTTCAATAGGATCCAATCAGATTCAGTCAGACCCGACATATTTTTAACCTTTCTTCTCATTTTTTTTCTTTTAAAAAATCATAATATATCTTATAAAGATGTTTAAGATTAAAGTTACACTATAAATTATTTATTACTATTTTATTAAATTGAATATTACATGTGTGAGGTTAGTTATATTTTTTTAAATGTTTTAGACTTTAAAATAAAAGATTCTAAATAATTCCTTCTTATTATTTGCTCATTGTTACTTAGAAAAGTATATATACTTATTGTCCAAATATCAACATTGCTGTTAATTATTGTTACTTTGAAAATTGATAATTTGTCTATTTGGTTACTATCTTTATTAAGAATGGCTGATAAGAAATATCTAAAAAAAAAAAAGACAAGATGATGATATTACATCTTTATTAAGAATGGTTGATAAGAAATATCTAAAAAAGAAAAAATGTAATATGGTGATCTTACATAGGAACCTTTGTTAACTTCTTACCTATTAAACTACGTGATTATTATTTAAAATAACATTTTCATTGATTTAAGTCTAAATATTTTATATTCATAAGATATATTTAACATCTAAATGTGTAGATATATATTTTTAAGTAATTTAGAAAAAGTGACTGAATCTTTACGATTCACGATTTGATTCGATTCGCGATTCGGTACAAGGCCATTTCGATTCACGATATGAATCCCGATTTGACAACTATGCCCAGTACAACAAAAAGTCATCTCACGTCTTCGTCCCATTTGTCAGTGAGACCCATTAGCTTGAGTGGTTTAGACAAAATAGATTTGGATGTGGCTAGAAGCTAAGAAGCATGGACACGTGACACGACACGGATATGATACGGACACGCATGAAATATGCAATTTTATATACTTATTATATGTTATATATATGAATATATCATTCAAAGATAATAAAAAATATAATATGATACTAATTCTTATAAATTTATATGCTTTTTGTTTTATTATTGTACCTTAAGTTGTTTTGTTTAAACTTATAATTAGTTTCACATGTGTCCAATCGATAGACATGTGTGTTTATGCGATTGACATGTGTGTCTTCTAAGTGTCCAAAGAGTGTTCGGGTCTTTAAAAAAATTTTAAAAATAAGACACGTTTTGAAGAGTGTCGGACACGTGTCCTAAGAGTGTTCAAAGAGTGTCGGTGTCCGACACGGATACGTCACCTTCTTAGAAGTGTCCGTACTTCTTAGGTTGGAAGTCATGGCAGCAAAGGAGTAGGGGGGGACTAAGTGTCCTTTTGGGTACCAATTTAACCCCTCAAAATTTATAAATAAATAAAAATAAAATATAAAACAAAGTGTTTTTAGTGATGACTCTTTGGGTGATGCGCATGAAGAGAAGGTTGGGGCTATGCACATGTAATCTAAGGTGACCAAATCTGGGGATCTGACACAAACTTGGTCTACAAATAATTGAACCAAGTGAGCATCTCCCTACTAAAAATCAAATTTTTTTTCCGAATGAACTTTTTAAAAGTAATTCAAAGATCCCAAAATTAGCTAAAAGGCTTAAGAAATTCAAGATGAAGTATGAGAATAATAAGTAGAACATTCCCATAGAAATATCTAGAAGTGGATTTATGTTAAGCAATGGGCTGAAAATTATGGGTGGATAGTCATGATGAAGTTGTCACCCTTGACAGTGACACTAGTTTTCTTCATTTTCAAGATTAAAAGTGAAGTTATGAATATCTTGAGCATGGACCTTTTTTTATTTTGGAAGTAAACTAGTTGTTCTGAAAATATGACATCCTGATATTTATTTGTCTAAGAGTGAATTTCCCAGTGTCCAATCTGAGTAAAGTTTTATAATATTCCTCTTGAGTTATGGACAAATGATGGCTTGAGCTATGTAGCTAGCGTAATTGGTACACCTTTCGTACCTTGATGATTACACCCAATCTCTTAGTCGACTTACTTTTGCAAGGGTGTGTATTAAAATTCAAGCAAACACTGCGATCCCAAAATCTTTCAGACTTAATTTAGGGTATAGGGAACATTATGAAATTTGAGTTCAAGTTCCATGGAAGCCCTAAAAATGTGATGAATGTAAGGCCTTTGGTCATTCTACCTAGGCATGCGCATATATTGTAAAGCCGGTGGTTCCAATTGTATCGAAGTTTAAACAAGAATGGAGTATGAAATGAGGGGTCAGTTGAGCCCAAAAATAGAGATTGGAAAGAAGGGAAGAAGAGGAAAGGCAATTGTGTTGTGATTGCTAGATCAAACGAAGGGAAAAGTTTCCCCATGCTTTCCTCATGTATTCCTAATGACGAAATGAATCAAGTGACGAATTAAATAACAAGAGAGAAGCAAGTTCTTCTACCAAAGAATATGGTTCAAGGGGCTTTGCTGAAATGGAAGGTAGTGGTGCTCTTGTGATAATCTCCTCTAAGGGACTAAGGGAGGAAAATGATCCACCTAATGCAGTGATGGAAAACTTGGAGAACACACATCCTTCCAGGAATAAAAACCAAAATAAACTTGAGAGAAAAAAAAAAATCGCAACCTTGAGCTTGCTAGAAGAAGGTGATGGGGGGCTAATCTAATTTTTTTGGTTTTGTGTTTGTTGTTATGTTGCTAGAGAGTGTTTAATTCAGTTGGCCTAGACTCTTTGGATTGTGAGTGGTTATTGTCTAAGCTAGGTTTGTTTTGTGTTGCCTTTTTGTAAAGTTGTGAGCCTTTGGACATGAGTATTGAACTTTGTTGTATATCTTCTGTAGTCTTGTTTTTTTGTTTATATATATATATATATATTGTAATAAGACGCTTACTTTAAAAATAAAAATAAAAATCAAAATCAAAGATCACCCAAGTAGGGAGCCAAAATATAAGACACGGCTTGAGAACTTAGAATAGCAAATTACAGTGCATAGAACATGCTATGCAACGATTCTTCCATCTATGATCCATACGAGGACAGACTAACTACAACGATATGAAGAGCGGCTAGCGAACAACAAACAAACGCCATTCCATAGCATAGAATTTTCAATAATTGCATACAAGTAGCATATATAAACTAGTTTATACAAACGTATACGCATATATATTACGCCGATTAGGGCTTCGAACCATCTAAAAGGAGAATAATCAAAGCAATGACAAAGAGACAACTGGAAGAAAAAGAGAGAAAAGTGCGTAACCTGGATGTAGATGAATGCAACCGCCGCAACGAGGAGAAGGTATCGGTAATCGCAAGAACATCTCACCATCGTTTTTAGAGAGTCAATCAAAAAAAAGGTTCAGAAAAAAGAAGCTTCGATCTCGCAAATAACGGAATCTGATTTGGTTTTTTTTTGGTTTATGTTGCGGGGGAAGCTCTGGAATTCAATCGGATCGCGGTCCACGACTCAACACAATCACAATCGGATTTCTAAAGCCACCTCCGTCTGTGCGTGCGAACCAAGACGGACGACAGTCGTGCGTGTTCGTTGGGTCGTATCGTATTCCTTGTCATTCAAAGATGCTACGGACACCAACCGATTGACCGAACAAATTACCGAAATCAAACTTGGTGCACCACCTAAGCACGCAGGCCCACCTATCAGAGCAATGTTATAAAAATAAAAGAAAAATATTTGGTAATTCAAATTTGTGTGACGTGAATTGTTCGAATAATATCATTTTATTTTTAAAATAATATTATTTTGAGATATTCAAGTCATGAAAATTTAGATTATCAAACATTATTAAAAATAAAAATTACGTAAAATACACTTTACCTCTTCAAATTAAAAATTGATATAATGTATTCTTTCATCTTCTAAATTTTTTTAATTTAACCCTTATATTTCTATTATGTTAATAGAACAAATAGAAAGTGTGCATATAATATGCACATGTCATATTTAAACAAAAATATCATTTAACGATATGCCATAAATGTGACATGTGCACGGAAACATAAATATTATATTGAAAACTTTCAAAAAAACAAAATGAGTATGCTGTGTCAATTTTGAATTTAGTAGGGTAAAGTTAAAAACGATAATAGTTGAGGTGTATAGGTGAAATTTGCCCCAAATAAATCTATCAAATACTTACATGTAAAATCCACACATATATATGAACCCACACATGTGGAATTCACAGTGACATGACTGTTTGGTAAAAAAAATTGAATCTTCGAGCAGCGTTCAGATCCTGTCGACTCCAATTTTTTAGATTGTTTGTGGAATTATTCAAACCGACATCAGTTTGATTAATAGGGGAAAAATAAAAAATAAAATAATAGAAAGAAAGAACATTGATAAATGAAGAGAGATAGAAGAAGCCCACACATCCATTGAAGTTCTTTTTTATCTCTAACATCGCTCTTTTTCCCGACCCTCTCCTTATCTTCTCTTCTTTTTTATTCTTCATTTTCTTCTTTTTCTGTTGCTACGTCAGAGTTTCTTCATTTATGTAAACATGTTTTCTTTCAAGTATGTATGTAGTAGGATTAATAGAGATCGTCAGAATCTATAAAGATCGCCAAAAAACTAATTAGAAAAGACAAAGTTTCCCATAAATCTACAAATATCTATGGAAAATGAAAAGTAAAGGTTACGAATGGCTCGTGGAAATGCTTTGATAAAGGAATTTGATATGAAGAAGGATGGATGGTTTGGTGAAAGAGAAATAAAGAGGCTAGAGAGATAAAAATGGCATAGCTCCCATAGGATCCTCACATTTACCTCTCAATAATAAAGAACTATGGATTTCTCTCCAATTTCATTCTTTCCCTTGAACGTTATGACTTGGGTACATATTTACAAGCCCCCAAAAGTAAATATTTGAGAAAGTAGTAACTAGTCAAGGTTGAGCCAATGTGATCAAGGGATCATATAGGAATTATTCTCTCGCTAACTGCCTTATTTGAGGAAAGTTGCATTCCCAAGGACATCTCTCATCATTTCCCCAAATATTACTGAGACTAATGGAGGTCCGAGAACATTCTTAACTCCTTAGAGAACCTTTCCCGTTAGTCACATCAAACCAAGAATCCCTAACATCCCAATGGGTCAAGAGTAGTCCAACAAGACGTCTTATTGCAATTGTCCAATAACTTCTCGGGTCACGTCACCTTCACTCCGAGTGTTGACTAGTTTAACCGAAGAGCAAATTATCTTCAAACTATTGGCATATTTCACTTTGACCCCTTCCATCGTAGGTCCAATTTGTACCTTTTATTTTATTTTTTATTTTAGTTTACGAGGTTAATTTATACATTTTTATAATTTAGGGACAAATTGATACATCTGAATAGTTTAGGAAGTCCATTGATATGTTTTTATAATTTAAGAGATCAAAATAATATTTCTCAATAGTTTAAAGGATATTCGTGTAAATCCCTCATAATTTTATTTTGAAATTAAGGCCATTTGGGGACTTGGGCTTTTAGCAAAACAATTACTAAAATTATCACACCACTCACTCTATTTTTTTATTTTTATTTTTTTAAAAAAAAAAACCTAAAAAGTAACTACAATAGTCAATTTCTAAATATGACCTAAATAGAAACATATTTAAATAATAATAATAATAATATATCAAGTAAATTTTAACTACTTTCAATTACACTGTAGTGTTTTTTTTTTTTTTAATTTTTTTAAATTTTTTTAGGTTTGGTTTGTTGCTGTTAATGTTATATTTTAAGGCCTATTTTGGCAATTCATAAAATAGTAAAAAAGTTTTTAAAAAATCACCATAAAAATTAAAATTTGCTCTATTTTTTTACACAATTTTTTATTAAAAGCCAAAAAATCAATCAAAATAATTACTTTCCAAAACAACCATATATACTATAAAGAAAATTGTTGAAAAACCCAATATAACAATTTTTTAAGTCATTAAATCCAACGAATATTTTTTGTTGGTAAAAAATCTACCATTTGTGAAATAATTTAGTAAGAAATCCATTTATTATTTTGAAAGAAATTTTATTTCTAATTTTACCCCTTCATCTAATTTGTTTAATTTTTTTTAACTATACGTTTAAATATTTATCTTTCTTTTTTTTTTTTTGACTATACATTTAAATATTTTATCTTTTTTTTTTTTTTTACTATATGTTCAAATATTTTTATCTGTTTAATTTTTTTTTTACCATCTGTCCAATTTGTATCTATTTGTTGAAATATCTATCTGCTAATGTTTATTATTTGTTCAAATATCTACCCGTATGTAAATACATCGTCAAACCAGACCAACATCACACACACAACCATTTTCTCTCTCTCTCTCTCTCTCTCTCCAAATCATACCCTCTCTCTTCAACCACAAGTCAATACAAAATTAAAAAAAAATTCCCAATAAACGCAACAATACCCAAAAAAAGAAAAATAAAAAAAAAACCGAATCCCTTGAACATAATACACATAATACAGACTTCAAAATTTTGATAAAAACGTCTACCAGTTTAGGAGTGAGAACTTCTTCACACTGAACAAAACACACTATCATTAGTCACTGTGTGAACAAATTCACTTCCCAATATATTTAAATTTATTATTATTATTTTTGAAGTTCCACATTGAAAAAGGACAAAATGAAATTTAATAAGCCCACTTTAAAAGAGATCCTACCAATTTAAACTAGGTTCTACAAGCCTTTTTTTTTTTTTTTTTTTTTTTTTTTTTTTGTGGTCTACTTTGAACATACAAGTTCTATTTATTTGATAATTTTTGACACTCTTAATTTCTTTTCTTTCATAGCTAAATACTTTAAACAACCCCCAAATTTAAATCATGAGAATCAAAAAGACATGAATTTTACACGATAATTTACAAAAAGCTAAAACATATTTATATTTAAGTTTAAATATAAAAAAGCCTGCCAATAAAATTCATTTTAGGCCTCGTAGACACTTAAGCCGGCCCTGCTAGGATCAATGTTTATACATTGCCAGTTCCAACATAACATCACTGCATAAAGAACATATTACCGAAATCTAACTCTTCCAACCAAAATCTGGTATTTTTCAGGGACTGGCCATCTGAGAAGACAAGTTATGTGGCAAAAAATCAGAATGAAGCGTACAATTGTAATAGTAAAGTATAAAACTTCCCTAAAATAAAAAAAAATAAATAAATAACTTCATTGTAGAGAAATGATTTCTCTAAATAAATAAATAAATAAATAAAAATATTCTACAATAGTGACAAAATTAAATCTTACTCATCTAATAAATCATTTTAATGCGGGTTAAAATTTCCCCTCCATCACAATTTAAATATGTAGAAAGAAATTGCTTCAACTAAAAGTGCGCAGACGACATTCTAACTCGCATTAAAATGTAGGAGGATTAATGCAATTTCCTCTGCATCCCAAATATAAAGTTAAAACAATCAAATTAGGTTTGACAAAAAAGTAACATGAATTCACCCCCATTTTAAGACATATCCAAAAGCATACAAAATATTTACCTATTTACTTTATCTGGGCTATTATCATCGATAAACACTTCTAGATTCTCTCACCACAACCACCTTCACAGTTTTCCCAACCTTCTTCCATATTATATCATAGAACTGATACCAGCAAGAGAAAAATTAAACCAACAATACAAGAATAATGCAAATGGTAAATGAGTGTAGGAAACCAAATTTAAAAAATTAAAAGAAAAATATTAGCAAGGTTCATAGTGAAAATGCAAAATAGTTATTGGCAGTCAATAGACGACAGAGGCATCAATAAATGCCACTCAGCTACTTAATGGGTCCCACAATTAACTACTTTGACAACTTATCACAAAACCAGCACCCATTAGCCCCCAACCATTCGAAGCAAGACATACGAAATTTGTCATTGTCTTTTTGCATTGAAATATGTCAAAATAGTGTTACAATGAATGCCTAATGTGTTGAAATCTGTGTTACGGGGACATGAACAGAATCCCCTGTTTGTGATCAACCACCTAAAAATGTCACTTCAATTGATATTTTCTTTAAAAAGACATGCCACACAAGTCTAGCAGGGGTTTCCACTTGATGACCATCAATATTTTTGAGCTTTAATACTCCTAATTGAATATGACACCACAGGACATTTTTATGTGCCTTTTGGAACCTGATTTCATACTCCCTACCAAATAAGCCACAAGTCCTTCGATGTTAATCACAAAAGTATTCACTCATGATGGATGCCATCATGCTTTGACTTTTTAACCAATGCACAACCCTGAATTTTACTAATTCAGTTAACCTCCAACCAAGAAACGTTTTGTTTTTTGGTCTAGACACTAATTAATTCTGATTTAAGTAGCTAACCATAAGAATTGACCAAGTGATAGCACCCCAAATCCAAGCTAAAAAAATTACATTCAACTGTATCCAAGAATGAAATTGCAAAAGAACACTGTGATACCTCACCAAGATGCAGCAAATCAGTGAGTTCTATGGACTTGACAACAAAAATTAACCAGGTATTACAGAAGGACGAGAAGGGGCTAGGTGAACAAGAGAGATGGGTTAGGGCAAAAGAGAGATGGGCTAGGGGAAAAAGCAAAAGCTTGTAGTGGCACCTCTGGCTGTAAATCACACTCCCACGTTCAACCTCAATTTCCATTTTGCTGTCTAATTAAAAAGCTCACCAAGTAAAAAGGAGAAAAGGGAAGAGGTTTGTTTGGTTTTTGAAAAAAATGATAGCTTGGTGTTCAGTTTAAGCTTGGGGCATTAACAAAATGGAAAATTCTATTTACACACAATCATTTATCTAAAGTACACACCATCTACTCAGTTCACACCACACACAAATTGAATATGCTGATTTTATCTCAAGACACACCACCAATTTTCATATAGTACCATATTACCATTATCTTGTCCAACAAACCCAAACCCTAACCACTACAGTCGCTGGCTACCACCCCCTCTGATCGCCGCCGCTCTCCAGCCCTCTCCCCTTCAGCCTTAGCCCCCTCCTGCTGTCGCCCCTACTGTATCTGGTTCTCCTCATCTTTTTTCTTCTAAATAAACCCTAGATTAGGATTTGCAGTGACGCCGATCGCGATTCGCAGTGGCGGGGAGGTGATTTGTGGGAGTTGCAGTGGCAGCAGCAGGGGAGGCAGCTCGAGTTGCAAACGAGAGAGAGAGAGAGAGAGAGAGAGAGAGAGATGCGAAGAGGAAGAAGATAAGAGAAGAGATGAGGCATAGCAGGTAGAGGCGGTGGTCACTGTAGTCGATGGTTGGGGAAGCTGCATCGTCGGAGTCGGGGGTGGTGCAGTGGCTGGTGCTAGTGTGCTAAAAAAATAGGGTTTAGATTTTGTCTAAAAGGGTAATTTAATTAAGGGACAAAATTGTAAAAAAAAAATAGAAGATGGTGGGTACTGAGTAAATGAGTGGTGTGCAAATAGAATTACCCTAATAAAATCAGCTGTCAAAGTTTAATCCCATAGCTCGAGGGTTCATGCTAAATCAAAAGAAGAAGGGCTCTTGGAATGAAAAGTTTCAATCATCAGGAACAGAAATGGTTACAGCTTGGTTCACAGAGAGAGAGATTTGTTCCACCTCTTTGGTATTAATTTCCCCTTCTCATGAAATCTGCTATTTCCAAAAAGGTTGTCACTGACATGATATTATATACCCCTAAGATCATTTTCTTGCTATTTTACCTATATTATTAATAATATTATTACAAATAATGTTACTCCTATTGCCATTAAAAAAACTACTACTAGTATTTTTTTACCATTACCATTACTATTCTAAATAAATATTACCATTACTACTAGTACATCATTATTGCCGTGCCGCTGCTACTACAAGACTATTGGTACTAATATTATTGTTAGTTTTATTATTAACACTTCTATATAATCATATACTATTTCGATGGATGGCAGGGCAAAGGATTGTAAGTTCTCAAAACTTTCTTCATCGCCACTTCCTTCACAAGTTCCAGACCACAAACACAGCGACAAATATAAGCATGGCAAACAAAAGAATTGGTAGATCGCATGTAATAAGATATCCACCAAAACAAAATCTCAGCATTTTTCAGTTCTAAACTCAAATCTTACTGAAATCACCAATAATAGAGATTGTGCACCTAATCTGTTGGGATGGCATTTATATGCTAGTTGCTGATGGTAATGATAATGACAACAATAATGAGAATGAAGATAGTCATGCCAATATTTTAATGAGAATGACGATAGCATGCTGATTTTTCATACTCCAAATGAGGAAAGGATTACACTATTATAAAAGCAACAAAAGCACAAGAAAAAGGAAAACCAAACATAGTAACAGATTATCTTTTTTTCCTTCATTTTTGATGGGGCATTTCTATATGTTGAAGTATTACTAAGAAGCATGATAAGCTATTTAACAACAATGATAAAAATGATATACCTCAAAAAACTTTCAACTACCTTTTTTCCGCATTGAACAATAACATCACCGTGGAGTATTCCTGCTTGCTCAGCAGGGGACCCTTTCATGACCTACCTGACAGTTTGGAAGATTAGGTAGCGCAGTATGCAATTAGTAGGAATATCTCAATTAAAAAAGGCATTACATGCATGCATACATCTATCCCACATACATATGTACACACACTTGGCAATTAGTTCTCATGTTAAAATTTCTAATTGAGATATTTATCTTATCTAACAAGCAAACACCTCAAACTAATGGATGACTTACAAAATTTTATTGAACACCAAATCAACAAAACAAGAAAATAAAGGTTGTTTATTTATCGCCCCGGGGGGGGCAAAGGAGCGTGATATGAACTTTGACTAAGGTTTTGTTTGGCAGATAGAGTTTTGGTTAAGGGGGGGGGGAATATTAAAAATAGACTAAAAAATAATTGCTACGTTTTATTTCATGTAGAAGGGTTTACCTATTTTGATCAGATTGCCTAAAATCAGAACTCAAAATAGCCAGCGATTGTAAAATACAATACATGCTTTAGCAACGAAATGTACATTACAGTAATATTTATTGTTTTGTTAAAAACCTTACGACAATACAACACTGCCAGCAGAACACCGTATCATATATAAACAAAACCACAAGCTCTTAGAACTTTAATCATTGCCACTAAATCCTATGTGGCACCACCTCTATCAAGGACCAAACATCCAGGGCTTTGAAATGGTTTCTTAGACTTAATGCAGAATAAGATAAGGTAACAGCAAAACCCCATACCGACTTGTGCACCTATCCGTACTGGTTACATTATACCCAAACTATATACATATAGTTCATAACTGTTATGTCACACTATAGCAAAACTAGAAAAAGATACAGAATTTTGTATCACTTAATTTACCATTTTACTGGAGAAGTACACCGTGTTGAAACAAGAGATCTAAATTTCATATGACCCACAAAAATAAATATTTTGCAGTTATTTTTATTTTTTATTTTTTGATAAATAATCAAACTTTATTAGAAAGGATCAAGACGATGCAATGAATACATAAAAGAGGCCACAAAAGGCTAAAACAAAACTAACTCATCAACTCCTCAACAAAATCAACAAAAACCAAAACATTGGGATCGACTGTACCCCTAACCCAACTATGCAACACCATCAACAATCTACTTTCTAACCAAGAAGCGGAATGACACTCATCCTTAAACATGCGCCTATTCCATTCTAACCAAAGCAAACAATGAGAAGAAAGCACCCAAGCCTTCCGGCGCCTCTTCCCCACCCGAGCCCCACCCCAACTCTGTAATGCTCCCAACACAGAGGCCGGTTGCACCCACACTAAGCCAAACAAAGCAACAATGAAACTCCAAAGACCAGACGCAATCGGACAATGAAGAAGTGATCCACCATTTCCGCAGCCCTACAACACATACAACACCAATTGACCAGCACATGTCGACGCCGAATCAAATTATCAATAGTGAGAATATGGCCCAAAGCAGCTGCTTGGAAAAAAACCAACACCTAACACCCAACACCCAAATATACTTCGTTGGAGAAAAAAACCACCTTCGTTGGAGAACCCAACACCCAAATATACTTCCAAGGAAACGCACCGATAGCATCCCTTGCAAACACCCCATAAAATGAAGATACTGAGAAGACACCTTTAACCCTCCGAACATCCAACACCACCGAATCCCCTCCATCCCTCCCCTGCTGCAACGCATATAAGAAACCTAAAAGGTCCATCAATTGGTCTAACTCCCAATCTTGCACATCCCGGCGAAGACGAACATTCCAAACAACAGACGACCCCTGCCTCACCCTCACTGAAGCAACCATCTCCTCCCCATCAACTGCAATGGCATAAATCAACAGGAACATAACAGCCAACAACGCCCAACCACACCATCAATACTGCCAAAAATGGACCTTGTCCCCCATCCCCACTCTAAACTGAACCCTCATCCAAAACTCTCCTCTCCCTAACCAAATCCCCTTCCACAACCCACGACCATGGAAAGAACCACCCTCTTCGAACACCAACTCCCCCTCTCCTCTCCATACCTAGACACAATCACCCGCCTCCATAACCGCTCCCTTTCCTCCACAAAATGCCACAACCACTTCCCTAATAAAGCCCAATTAAAAACCGCCAATCTTCGAATACCCAAACCCCCCCGGTCCTTCGGAAGGCAAACTCTCTCCCAATCCACCAAGAGATAATGACAACCTCCCCCTCCTCCACCCCACAGGAAATCCCGCTGGAGATTCTCCAACCACTTAGCCACCACCACAGGAATCACATGCACGAACATAAAATACGTTGGAATACTAGACAGAACACTCTTAGTCAAAGTAATCTGCCCTCCTTTTGACAAGTACTGATGCTTCCATCCTGCCAACCGCCGCTGCACCCTATCCACCACCCCCTCCCACACCCTTGACTCATTAAAGGTGGCTCCCAGAGGAAGTCCCAAGTAAGAAACTAGTAACCTAGCCACCTTACAACCCAAAACAGCCGCTAACACCGGAAGACAAGCCACTTCTCCCATCGAAATCAATGCCGATTTGGCCAAATTAACCCGAAGCCCAAAAACTGCCTCAAAACATAACAATACACAACGCAAATGGCCTATTTGAATAGCATCCGCATCACAAAAAATCAATGCATCATCCGCATAGAAGAGATGAGAGACCACCAAAGGATCAGACCCCACCCTTACCTCAAAACCCAACAACAAACCTCCACGAACTGCCCGAAGAATCAACCGGCTCAACGCCTCCATAACCAGAATAAATAAAAGTGGAGACAAAGTGTCACCTTGCCGCCAGCCCAGCCCAGCCCAGTAGGGAAAAAACCCACTGGGGTCCCATTCACCAAAATAGACAGTCGGACAGTAGAAATACAAAAATGTATCCATCTCCTCCATCGCTCCCCAAATCCCATCCTCACCAGCACATACATAAAAAATTGCCAATTAACGTTATTATAGGCCTTCTCAATATCCAACTTGCAAATAATTCCCTCTTTTCCCAGCTGAAGTCACGAGTCCACGCACTCATTAGCTACAAGAACAACATCCAAAATCCGCCGCCCATACACAAAAGCATTCTAAGACTCTGACACCACCCCCTCCAACACACCCCGAAGTCGATTGGCCAAACCCTTAGCCAGTAACTTGTAAATACTCCCTAAAAGACTGATGGGCCGAAAATCACGAATATCCTCCGTACCTCCATTCTCGAGGATCAAGGCTATAAAAGTAGCATTCAGACTTCTCTCAAACTGTCCCGTCTGATGAAACTGGTCAAACATAGCCAACACCTCCCCCTTTACCACCCCTAACAATGCTAAAGAAAACCAATTGAAAAACTATCCGGCCTCGGCGCCTTGTCCCCAGGCATACTCCTCAATGCCCCCAAAACCTCATCCTCTGTAAATGGTCTCTCCAGCAACAAGCCCTCTGCCTCAGTAATAGAATCAAAGACAACACCATCCAGCCGCGGCCTCCAACCCTCTCTCTCAGCACGAAAAAGATACTGGTAGAACCCTACTATACCCGCCCTGATGTCCTCTTCGGTCGATAGCATTTCCCCATGCACCCGTAACTTCCCTATCTAATTCACATGCCGATGAGCGTTCACCATGCGGTGGAAGAATTTTGTATTCCGATCTCCATCTTTCAGCCACAGGCACCTAGATTTCTGCCGAAAACTAATCTCCTCCATTCGAGCCACCCTCGTATATTCCTCTCGAGCCATATCCCTACAAACCTCGTCTTCTTCAAAAAGGCCCCCCCCGCAGCTTCTAACTCATCCAACCCCTTCATAACGGACAGGATATTCGCCTTTTGAGCCTCCACACGACCAAAAACCTCTACATTCCACCTCTTCAGATCCGCCTTAAGAAGTTTCAATTTCTGAGCCAATCAACAACTTAGCATCCCTACCACATAATAACTCCCCCACTAAACCCCCACTCTCCAAAAAAAACCCTGCTTGTAACCACATATTCTCAAAACGAAATGGTGATGGCCCTCGCCGAACTCCCCCACTCTCCAAAAGAAGTGGCCAATGATCAGAAATTGGATGAGGCAACCGTAATTGAAACATCCGAGAAAAGTGCTCCTCTCAATCCCTAGAAACCAAGAATCTATCAATCCGAGAGGTTGCCCTACCGCCAGACCAAATGTAACCTCCCCCCTGCAGCGACAAATCCACTAGCTTCATCTCATCAATGAAAGAAGAAAAAGCCCTCATGGACCCCACTACTTAACTCCCCCCAGACTTCTCCTCCGGACTTCTCACAACATTAAAGTCTCCCCCCACACACCAAGACACCCCCCATCGAAACGCAACACCCTGTAATTCCTCCCAGAAAGCAAGCCTCTCCGACCCTCGAACTAGGCCATAGACCCCAGTAAAAGCCCACTGATAATCATCCTCAATACACCTAAATAAGCAAGACAAGGAACAACCCCCGACCTCTTCCCCCTCCTTCACTACCACCCTGCTATCCCAACAAAGAAGAACACCACCAGCCACCCTTAAAGCTAGTTGAAAAGCCCACTCCACATACCTCCCACCCCTTAGGTCCCAAACTATCTCCACCCCAACCACCTCCATTTTGGTTTCTTGCAGACACACCACACCCGCCTTAGCACTTTGCAATACGAACTTAACCATTGTCTGTTTTCCTTTATCATTCAAGCCTCGCACATTCCAAGTCAAAATTTTCAAACGCATGGCAAAAAGTGGAACACCATGGTCTTTCCTCAGACGTCGCTCCTCCCCCTTCAAACCTCGATCATAATTGATGGAACACTCTAATCTCCTTAACTCCCAGACCCCTTCATCTTTTTGGCCAACCGCAAGCTATGAAGCACGGACACGCATACGGACACGGACACGGGACACGGGAATTTTTAAAAAATGGGGACGCGGACACGGCAGGGGACACAACAAATTTTTTAATTTTTTTATAAATATTTTTATTTTAATACATATTAATTATTTTATTTATTTATTATATTTTTAAATAATGTGTTGTAATTAATTATTTTATTTAATTTTACATACATGTGTTTATTTTTTTATTTATTAATATGTATAAGTATATATTATCTTATAATATGTATTATCCATTATCTAATAAGTATATTTATGTTATATAATAACTATTATATAATATAATATATAATAAAATAATAATAGTTATTAGTTATATATATTATATAATAATAATAATAGTTATAATATCAAGACAAGAAGACAGACGGGAGAGAACCGAGAGAGAGGGAGACAGAAGCAAGGGAGACGATCGTGATCAGAAGCGAGAGAGAGGGAGACGATAGAGAAGGCAAGAGAGAGAGCTCTGCGAAGGCAAAGGCGAGAGAGAGCTCGTCGAAGTTGAAGGGGCTAGATCGTCGAAGTTGAATGGGGCTCTGGATCGTCGATCGAAGTCAAAGGGCTCTGGATCGTTGCCGACCAGATTTGTACTCGTTTTCCCTTTCATTTACTCTTCTCGCCGTGTCCATGGCGTGTCCAGATTTGGACACGCGTGTCCCCTGCAAAAAAATAAATTAAATTAAGGGGACACGCCAGATGCCGTGTCCCGTACGTGTCCCTGACGTGTCCCCATGTCCCCGTATCCGACACCGCCACGGCTTCCATTTTGCCGTGTCCATGCTTCATAGACCACAAGTGCTTCCTCTATACCTGAATCACCCCCTTTCCAAGACATCTCAATTGTTGTAAACAACTTGAGCGCCTCATCCTTATGCCCTTCAAAAGAAACACCTAGAAATTTACTAACCGTAGCGATACGAGCCAACACCCACTCAGATACAGCATCTGCAGACAGTGGCTGAGTGAAATTGGCATCATGAGCTGTCTCAGAATCCAGGTACAGATGTGGCAGACCAAACACCTTATCTTCCAGCACTAACGGCCTCACCACTAAGGCCATATTACCAACTGACTCTGGCCACTGAACCTCATTTGTTGTTACAGAGACCCTAGTACTGCCTTCGGCTATGGCGTCCCCATGGGACTCATCCCCTGCTGTCGTATGTATCGGAGGGTTCGACCTTGTCTCGATCGTCGACTGCCCACGAGGTGGAGTCCCCAAAGACCTACTAAACTCCGACGAGACTCGCGACGACGTCTCCCCTGACGGGGCAACACCATTACTGACAAAAGACCCACCCAAACCAAGTCCATCACGCAGCGACCCAAATACCCGAACAATTGGTGGGTTGGTGGATATGGGTCTAATCTCACCCTTTCCCACAGCACCTGGGCCTGTCTGATGTAGGCCCAATTCACCTCTCCCATTAGTAAAACTTGTCTGCCTTTTATTTGAGTGGCCTACATAAGAACGGGCTCCCATTCTGCCATGCTAGCCCACCTTCTGAGGTTTTGGGCCCAAATTGTTTAAGGCCTAAATACTAGGGCCCACTCCTATCTAAGGACCCGCTTGTCTGCTCCAAAACCCAGCCCCTGGCCTTCCTTTCCCAAATTTGCAATCAAATCCCCCAAATCCACCATTCCGTGAAGTTCGCCCCTCTTCACGCAGCCAACCACGGCTTCCCTTTTCTGGCCTAGAACACAGCTCCACCACCGGCGACGCATTAGCAATCATCGACCCAACTTCCAACCATAGAGGTATCTCGTATTGCCACGCATCCCATCGGAGCAAGATTCTAGTAGGCGCACTCTTGGGCTGCCGAACTAGAATGCAGACCACACCGAGGTCAGATGAGAAATCGTCAGCCTCCACAAAAGCCCCACACCAGTTGCCGATTACTTGGTACGTCTCTATCCCACGAAGATGTATCGGTATCCCCACCACCCTCATCCACACTAACTTGTCCAACCTGTCCGACTTCCTCTGATCACACTGAATTGTCAGCGACCACCACCGCAAGCACAAATACCGTCCATTAATGACCCATCAGCATCGCAGAACCCCTTCAACCTCTCGCCGAGAAGCAAACACAAATAGAAATTCTTGACCCCCAAGTGGTCTAATCTCCACCTTCCCCAACATCCTCCACCACTGACTTATCCACTCCGACATAGCAGAAAACCCTACACCTCTCTCTCCCACCAAACCCACTGTACCTACCAAGGCCCTGTCCAGCAACTTAAACCACCTCTCCCCAACCACAGCTTGTAGTACTTTCCCATTATCGATCGAAGATTCAGCAACCACCCCTGTAATCGGACCAACCCCAGGCACCACTGCTGGTCATGTTCTGTCACCAAGCTTTGACACCCAGCCTTTTCCTTTGGTGAAGCCTTCAAGAACCAACGCCACTCCCTCCCAACCATTCCCGAACTCCGAAGCAAGAAGAAAAATTTGATGGCGTTTACCTGTGATCGTGATCACAATCTGGAACGATGCCCCACCATTCTCCTCACCACGGAGCCAGACTGCCACGCTACGTCGTAATCCATCCAAACAACCCAAGAATTGGGGTCCTTGACTGTGCAAAGCCAACCGTAGTTTCCCAGCAAGCCAACCCACTTCGAACCCAACCAGTATCACCTCTCTCCGAAGGCCAAGCCCGCGCTTCACAATACCCAGTCGTCGATGGCCCTTTTAGTCCTCAGTCTCCTCCTAAAATTCAAAAGAACGACCCCCAAGAAAGAGGATTCGACACTGTGGCGTCGTCTCCACCCTCGCCAGAAACATCCCAAGCACCTACTTCATCCCACCAGAAATCTTTTCTATATTTGGTAATATTTAGAGAGAGGCAATCAATTCAAAACTCACAAAACCTTGCAGTTATTCTGACACCAAAAACCTCAATGTTCTAGATGCACAATCAAATTTCTTGTACTTTCCTTAAGTCTCGTTTGGCAAGTAGATGTTTTAGTCTAAAAGTCAAAAAGTTACTAAAAAAATCAAAAAGCCTATAACATGTACCAAAAAGTCAAAGATTCTCTTTTCTCTCTACTTTTTGCACATCTTTTCGTAAAAAGCCAAAAAGTCACCCCAAACATACTAGTTTTTTTAAGCTCATATTTTAGCCAAAAAGCAAAAAAGTTACTAAAATAGCCTGTTTCCAAACGAGGCCTTAATTTCATATTTGAACATTAAAAAAAACAACTGCTACATATTACTGGTTTATTTTACCAAACTTTTCACCTCTCATGTGGTTTCCTATGTAGCATGATAAGCTAGTTTAAATATAGTGGTTCTACACATACATATGGCTTTTATTCCATGAGTACACATGGGAAATGAAATAAGGAGGTGAACTAAATCCAGTGATGAATAGCATTTCTCTCCCAAAAAGACTTTGCCCCAATAGAATCCGGATCTATCTAAAACAAGGTGTAGCAGAACATACTCTTCAACAAGAACACCTTTGGAGATATTGAACTTCGAGATAATTTTTTCCAACTTGCCTACACTTGCCGCATAAAGATTAGTCATTTCCATGCCAAGCCAAGGTTGATGGGATTTCCTACGCCTCGATACAAACTGAAGCTGCCAACCCAACCCCACTAGCACAATATTATCCGCTTTGGCCGAAGCCTCACGATTTTGTTCTTCTTTAGAAAAGGCCGCCAACCCAACCCCACTAGCACAATATTATCCGCTTTGGCCGAAGCCTCACGATTTTGTTCTTCTTTAGAAAAGGCCTCTTGCTAGTTAGGAGGAGTTAATCAACTTATTAAGTAGGTTGTGGATGCCTCTCAGACCGATGTGGGACAAACCCATTTCGGGCTCCCACACAAACAATTAGACCCTCTAAAACGGCTTCATAATGCTTCCCATTTATCATTTTTTAAGGTAGCTACTTCGTGTTTGGCATTTAAAAAACTATTTTCCTTTTTTGGGGAGAGCATGTAGGAGGGTGAGGACATAATTGAGGACATCTAGCAAACACATAATAAGCAAAATACAGATGTGGAAGCCATATTGATTTGGAGCATACCGGTTTCTTTTTTAAATCACAAGAAGCATTTGGAAACTATGTTGATTAGCAAGAAAGGGGTACAAATATCATAAAAATAAAAATTAACTCCGATGACTTCTCCATAACAGTTTATAAGGAGTCCTCCGATAACACACTAGCAAAAATTAATGATAATAATCATTAGTTGAAGATAGCTAAAAATACATATAAATTATAATCTACTCAAATAAAACCCTTAGCACATTGCAGTCAGTAACTCATACATACCACACAGCATACATCAATTATTTATAAAACACTCTAGGGACAGATTGCACTCCACCATGAACGGTCTACATTCCATCACATAGCTCTTGCCCAAATGTAGACTACATCAACCATATATATATATATATATATACATAAACATATAAACAATTGTTGGAATATATTAGGATTACACATGTATTCTAATAATATAACCTAACCAGACTCGGAACGGATGCCAACTCCAGCCCGATTCCTAACGGAGTTTGAACAAAATACCAAATCCACCCCTAACCTTATTGAACAATTACCAACTTCATTCCAACAAGGGCAAGGAGGAGTGGGGCAGGTTAACAACTACTTCACTTCTAACCCTAACCACAGAGCATACCAAGATAATTAGAAGACCAAAAGTCATCACCATTCATCTCTAATTTAAAAACCAATCACTAATATAGTTACAAGAGAGAGGGAAAAGAGACAAATTATTACCTTTGAAATAATGTAATTTGCCCTGAAAAGCTCTTTGCAATCAAACTCGCAGCAGTCAAGACTACACAGAAAGAAAAAAAGAAAAAATGCAAGTGTAAGTAATTGTTAAGGCACTTACAAGCACCATGATCAACAAAAAATAATGCAATATTTGGGTATTTAATATCGGATACAATAAATCTTTAACAAACTGTACATGCACTAAGATGTTTTACATTCTCTTAGTCGTGTAAGAAAATTACAATAAAGTAAATTTACTGTGTACCTGAATTTGCCAGGTGCAGCCATAAGTTCACGGGTTCCAGTACAGGAGCGGCCAATGGCTACCACCATGTCTCCTGGACAAAGTCTAAATAAATTTGAACGACGATGAAGCTGAAACAATTTGGAAGTCATCTCCTTGTCCACAGTACAAGCGATTTCACTTGGATCTATTGAGATTGAATCATCCAAAGGTCCAATGATTGCAGTTGGCAATGCTACATCAGTTTCGATACTAATGGTAGCAATGTTGAAGTGAAAATCATAAGCAATCACACAACCCTTAAATAATTTACCATCCATTACACAAACATTAACCTGCAATAATAGTAAGCCATTTTTTTAGCTAATTGAAAAACATTGAGCAGTATTGTATTACATTATACCAAGTATTTTACACATCATATATATGGGCAATGATTGGTGGCCACAAATTCTGTGGCTCAAATGGCCCGAAAATGCCAAAACATCATTATATATATGGGCAATGATTGGTGGCCACAAATTTTGTGGCTCAAATAGCCCGAAAATGAGCTACAAAATTTGTGGCCACCAAACATTTTCCTATATATATATATAACTAAAAACCACCTTAAGGTCATCTGGTACAGCATTTGAATCAGTAGGTGATCTTAGGAGAGTCGTAGAAGTTAAAATGGTACTCATGTATGTTCCATTAACATCCTCACATCCAATAATAGTCCCAGAAGATGCAAACATCATCGTCCCACCTGGACATTGAAATAAATAAGCAAATCTCTACATGTGTGTATTTTAAATTAGCAGAGTATACAAATAAGTGAAGTACGAACGAGTACATCTATATAAAGAAAGAATGCTATGCATGACATATAGGGCCTTGAGTATTATGGGGCCCTAGGTGGACTCCTACTCAAGGCCCTGTATGTCATGTTGTTTTAGTTTTTCTACTTTTTGCTTATTTTTTATTTTTTTGCAAAACTATACTTCCTGGTAATCATGAATCATGATCATATAATCAATCAGATTCCAATCCACAATTCATAGAAATTCAACCTACGGATGCAAATAATGTAATGAAAACATCCAATATTTTTGTGATGATTATGTTTCCAAACACATTGAGAGAGAGAGAGAGAGAGAGATTCAGATTCTTCAAAGAATAAACTTCCACACACTAGCAATGATTGAACCAAAACTTACAAAGACATGGCCTTGTTTGGTTTGTCTCTTGAAAGACAATTTTTGAGAAAAAATTCCAAAAAATTGTCTGGTTGAATTTTATTTTATTTTTTTTAAATCCAAAATCATCATTCTCTCTACTACACATCAATCAACCACTTTTTCTCTCTCCTCTCACAACTGACACATTTATCAATCATTTTTTATTTTACACCCATCTATTCAACTACAAAAAAAAAAATTCAATCATCCCAAACTCTAAAACTATTTTCAAAACATACAACCAAACAAATTTTTAAAATTTTGTAAACTCTTTCCAGAAAATTATTTTTCAAAATTTTTTCACAAATACAAACCAGACATGGCCAACATTTGGGGCAAAGCAGAACATAAGTAAGGATTTAATGGATTTAGAAATACAAAGCAAAAAAAATTATAGAAGAAATATAATAGCAAGAAATGATTACGAAAAATTAGGGCATAGAATTAACAGAAATTCCAAGAGCAAAAAAAAAAAAAAAAGAAGGATTTAGTGGATTTAATTGTAATGAAACCAAAAACTAAATTGGGAAGAATGAATATAGAAGATCACTGCTCTGTTTTAATTAACTGATATATTTATTTATACATCAAATGAATCCAAAACCCAATTAGGGGAGAATGAATATAGACAGTCGCTGCTCTGTTTGGACCCTTTAATTGATGTAAAGTCAAATTGGGTTCTGTTCCTTCCCTAATACTATAAAGGCTTATATAAATTGGGGGTGCTATTTCTGTTAAAAATCTGGGGGGTCAAGGCAACTACCTTGGTTGCCTACTCTGGTTGCCTACCCCAGGTCTGTTACGTGGACTCTTCTATTTCAACCAATATACCCGTGTCCACCGGATATCAATTTGGACATTTGGATCTCCTACTTTTTACAATATTTGATGAACAAGAAACTCAAATTTACTAGAAAATAAACATTTATAGCCTCTAACATAGATGAGAGATAGAAATTCTATATTTTTCCTAAATCCTATTTAATTTCCAATACATTTTTACATAATTTATAAAATTTTGTCAAAGAATATTATATAACATTTAACATACACAAGTCAATAAATGAGTCCCTGTACCCATATCTTACTTCTGGATACATACCCCCAATATCCTAAGATCTAAGGCCCCGTTTGTTTGAGGTTATAGGAAGGGGATTGGGATTACTAATCCCTTGTTATTACTAAAGTTTATTAGAGTTTGACGTTTGGACACTCAAGAATACTGATGTACTGATACCCATACCTAAGTGCATGTAAGAGCATCTTGAATCCTTCACCAAATCTCTTATTCAATTTAAATTTGATGAAAAATTTAGTGAAACTAACATCCAATCATTTCATCATACTTGTAGCATCAAATCAAATTTTCATCAAATCAACGAAAAAAGTTTTTCACCAAATTTGATGAAAAAAGCTTTTGTGAATAAGATTGGAATTCTTAAAAAAGGATTTGATGAAATTTTTGAGCAAAGATTGGAGCATTCAATTTTTTTCACCAAATCAAGCTTTTAATTAGATTTGACGAAAGGGTATTGGAGCATACCATATCAAGTTTAACCAATGTTTTACACAAATTTGATAGGGGGAAATGGAGGATTGGAGATGTTCTAACATTAGCTGCTGACAGATACTAAATAAAACATAAAAACAACCAAGTATATGTGATACATACCTACCGGTAACTGATATAAGACTAACAACAGAAGCAGAAGCTTTCAAAGAGGTTCTTTTGGTATCAATATCTAAGTCCATATTAGCATTTACAAATTGGTCAATCTTCTGCCCAATAGTATGTGGTGTCGTCAAGTATGAACCTGTTCCTGTCATTATTATTAGAAAATAAATATATATAAAACGATAATAAATATATATATATATATATATATTTTATGGAGCCAATTTTTTACCGTGATGTTCAGGGCGTTTCCGTTTCCATGGGCTATACCTATTCATTCTTTCTTCCGGGTCGCCATAACCAATCTTCATATTGGGGAGTCAACTGCCAACATATTTTGGTGAAGGTTTAGAAATTGAATCTTAGCAGCGAAGGTTTAAAAATTGATTCTTAGTGAACCCAAAGGAAAATTGATTCAAACAACCAAGTGGTCAAAAGATAACACTTTCGAATCATTCACAAAAATGTAAAATTAAGATTTTAAAAATCAAAACCAATTTTTTTCCTAAATCAGAAAAACGAAAGTTAAGTGGATAAGGAATCTTCTTCAACAATCCGAGAGGAGAGGTTCCAACCAAAATGAAGATACAAAAATGAATAATAATTTTTTAAAATGAAAATCTGAGAGAAAGAAAACCTCAGACAAGGGAGGGAGTAAGAGAAGGAAGCTCAGGGAAGCTTGCTGCAGAGCGATCTCCTCAGCGCGGGGGAACCTCTATCTAGAGAGTAGAGACCTTCACCGTCATCGCCAATGGTATCAAGGATGAGAAGACGCAGTGCAGCGCTGATTTGTGTCTCTGTGAGGAACCCTAGCCCTAAAAGATAGCTTACCAAAGTAGGGGTGGACCAACCATGGGCCGGGCTGGTTGGGGATGGGGTCGCCGGCATCGGCATCGGTTTGAGTGGGTGTATATTTTTCCTCTTTTGGTAATTTTTTTGAGGGGTAAAATGATAATTAAAAAATTAAAAAGAGTAATTCTAGAAGAGTGTGGCTATTAGGCCTCGTTTGGCAAGAGGCTATTTTAGTTAAAAAGTCAAAAAATTATTAAAAAAGTTAAAAAGTCAACAACTTATATCAAAAAGTAAAAGATTTCCTTTTCTCTCTACTTTTTGCACATCTTTTCGTAAAAAGTCAAAAAATCATCCCAAACATACTAGTTTTTTTTACATCACATTTTAGCCAAATAGCCAAAAAGTTACTAAATTAGCCTGTTCCCAAACGAGGCCTTAGTTTCAATTATAGGATCGAATTTTAACATGTCTTTAACTCAGAATTGGATCCAGGCTAGATCCTATTATTTTTTATAATCATCTTAAATCTTGAATGTGTCATCTTCATCACCATTATCAGCGCTATTGAACTTGAAAGTTTTGCTTCAAGTATAATGTATATTTCATCACTTTATTTCACTGTGTAGAGTAATGGAGGACGATGACAACAATTCTAGTGAGACCAGTGTTCTATTGGTAAGTTTATCTGTCTTGTATTAACATTCTCGGTCGTTTTCGGTCGTTCTTGTTTCATTTGAGCTGTTCAGTACTGATTTGCTGCCTGTTAGAATTATGTTCGGTAATACAGTACTGAACATAATCATTTCGTTCAATACATAGGTTCTGAGAGGGTAATTTATGATCTAGGGTTGGGCCGAGATATTGACCGATCAGGTTGAGAGCCCAGCAGTGCATTGGGCCGAGATGATCCACTGTTCGCCCAGAGAAGGGGAGCCAAAACTTGGGCCGGGCAGAGTTTGGACCGAGTGTATGCCGCCCCGGACCGTATGGAAGCTGCTCGGCTAGGAAGTGACCGGTCAGACCAGGATGCTCGGTCCGAGGATGGTCGAAACCAGACAGACTGAGAGACCGGCGCCCGGAAAGGCGCGGTCAGCCGAGGTAGTTGATTGACCGGCGAGAGGGCCAACCAAAGGAGGAGCCCGGGCTAGGCTTTGCCGAGATGTCGCTTAGCCCGATCCTTCATGTGTTTGTCCGGCTAGGCACATGGGTTTGAAGCATGACATGGCCGAGGTAGAACAGCTCGGCTGCCGAGCTCCAGCTGTGAGGTCAAGCAGTTGAGGTTAGGTGGTGAATGGCATGGTTTATGCTGACAGATGGGATAGCAGAGCCACGTGTCAGGAGATGACTGGGAGTGGATATGGGGTTCAGAAGGTATAAAAGCATGCCTGCGCCCCCCATACGGGACACACGAACACATCTGTAAGGATTTCTTACATTCAAACACTCTCTCCCTTCTCTCTATTCCCTAAAAGGTGTGTGCTAACTTGACCGTCGGAGGGTTTTTCCGGCCACACACCGCCGGGTAGCTCACCGTTATTTGCTCACAGGTGATCGGATATCGACGGAGCTCGGAAGAAAGGAATACGGGCACGCCGGAATATTTGCTCCCCTTACAGGTTCCGAACATTAATGTAGATAGTCAGTTATGTAATTTTCTTTGTTAAACTAACTTAGAATGGAAAATAGTGAATTGAAATGGATTTAAGTTATGTATTTTGAATGGATTTAATTCATGTTATTTTAAGTTGTGAATTTGAATGGATTCAAGTTACATAGTGATGAACAAATTTTGTTCGGACATACAGTGCTAACAGGATCATTATTGTTCGACAAAACAGTTCTGAACAAAATACATTTTTTCGGCTGCACAGTGGTGAACAAATTGATTTAGGCTACATTCAGAATTCTGATGGCGATTCAAACGATGATTCTATTTTTCCTCATCTTGCAAATGGTTATGCAAATCCCGTAGAAATTGGAGTATCTTTTATCGATCTAAGCGATGACGAAGATACAAAAAGCAACGAAGAAGATGATAATGAGAGGATGAGAGAGGTTACTGATTCGACGATACGGAGAGCGTTCAGAGAAGATGAGAGTCGTCGGAATGCTCTATTGATGGCCGAGACGATGACGAGAGTGATGGAGGGTTGGGGTCCAAGAATTCTATACTAGACCAAAGCTCCAAACTCTGAAGCTTGAGTGAGTCAATGAAGGAGAGGGATGGAAAATTAGGTGAGTGTGCATTTCATTGTGAAAATATTATGAACATAGATAGATTTGGTAATAAGTGGGGTGTCCAAAAAAATATTATTAAAATTTAGTGTTTAAGGTTGGGGTTCAAAAAAATAGGGGGTTCAAAGAATTTTGGTAGGTGCTAATAGCTGCACTTTTCTAGAAAAATTATGATTGTGTTTGGTAGAACTTTCTAAATATGATTTGAGGATAGAAGTTGTATTTTGAGTTTGTGAGTTTTGAAATTATGATTTGAGTGTAGAAAATTTGTTTGGTAAAAAGAGTTTTGAATTGAGTAGGGATTTTTTGATATAATATGTGATATTTGATACAAAAACTTATAACTCGTAACTAAACACACAACTCAAAATTCTATTAAATCTCATAAAAAATTCAAAAAAAAAATTCCGAATATATAAAAACTAATATGTGTCAATTGCCACACAAAAAAAATATATATATATTGTTCCGGTCAACTGGCCGAACGTCCGATGGGACCACTGGTTAGCTCAAATTTTATTGCCTAAGACAGCGTTTTCTAAATTGAATGTGGAATGAACTTTGGAAAACCGTAAACAAACATGAAACTCAAATAAAGTGGTAGAATTAACTTTGAAAAAGTGTTCCAAACACAGCCTATACTTCCACCCACTCACTTACTTCTGTGTACATATTTAATGAAATATTTATTTTAATGATAATTATACTCTAAAACAAAATAGCTATAATGGATATCAAAACATACTCTTGATATTATATCAAAATTTTATCGATATACTCATCAAAAAATAATTGATTTCCAAATTCAGTCAAAAAGATTAGCCATAATCAAGATCGTGGAATGTCTTTGAACTGCAACAGATCGACCGATTACTTGTCACCACAGGAGGCAGCGGCTCTGACAATAAGGCGCAACAGCAGGAGGTAGAAATAGGGAGTTAAGATGGCCTAAAAAGGAATACTAGCGACGGAGATAGCGGTTGCCGGTGGGATTAAGGTTTTGATAAAGCCTCACTTATCGGCGACAGCAACGTTATGCATGAATAGGTCAAGAAAGATCATCTATTTCGAGAGAGCCAACTCCATTGTCAACGAAAGTTCCATTCTATGTAAATAGGTGTTTAGAATGAAGGTTTGAACTTAAAATGAGTGCAAGTGTGTGGAATGAAGGTTTATGTGGTGTGTGTATAAAGATACAAGTTAGGGTATAATTGAAACATGAAATGTGTAGAATAGATGTTTAAAAGAAGCGTTTGAACTGAAAATGGGTACTGGTGTGTAGAATGAGGGGTTTAAGTAGCGTGTGTACATGTATACAAGTAAGGGTATAATTGGAATATTAAGTGTGTAAAATGAAAACAATAACTTATAATCAAATTAATAAGTGTGTGTACTAAAAAATAATGCATACAGAGATAAGTAAATATGTGGAAATAAAATTTCCTAATTCTAGTTACGTAACAAAAAGAATTCATTGCATCCATTTTTTCAAAAAATAAAATTATATTACACTTTCTATTTTCAAAATTACTAAAAAAACCCCTCAAAGCGCTAACCTTAATTTATCAGCACACCCACCTTTTGCTACCATCTTTATTGGCTACCATCATTGCAATTGTCTCCAGCTACCTACCTTTTCATCCCCTACAATCCCCTCTACCATTTCCGCCACCTGTGGCAAATCTTATTGTCAATTCAACTCATTTTCCACCATCATCGCCCCTCACCGCCCCCTTTCATCCTCTATCGTTTCTCTACAAGGCGCAGGGGCACACGAGACTCAGGGGTTACATGTACTAGACTTATCCAAATTTTGGAAAATTATTGAATAATTTTGAAATACCACGTGGTCATACTCTAAGCCAATCACTAATTACTTAGCCCCATATTATTCCTTCACCCCCCACATAAATCATGGGCCACTATCCCTCTCTACTAATCAAAACTTTATGTAGTACCACATATCCATACTCCGAGAATATTAAATAATCACCCCTAATTTTTATGAAGTACAAATTAAAAATAAAAATAAAAAAATGTTACAATTTTTTGTCCCAGTTGCTTCGAAACATGTTGGGATGACTGAATTGAACAATTGCAATAGCATTGCAACGAATTTTCCATATATATTAATAACAATCGAACAGAAGGACATAAATTAGTTAGAGAGGTCGAACATATTGTTAGAATCCACAAAGGTGTATGTGCATAAATTATATGTATAAATAAAAACAACCAATAAAATAAAATAATTCAGAAAATAATTATTTGATTATTTTCAGAATTAAAACTTTTAGAAAATAATGTCAAGGCTTGTGTTGGACACAATCTCCTTAAAGTAGATTTCACCCTCGCTTCGGTGGTTCGAGTTTTAACCAGCGTTTACTTCCCAGGATGCAACGACTATACCTTGATTTTACAGCACTATAAAACCAAGTATGGCGAACCAAAATATGTTGTAATTCTTTCTTTTTCTGTTTAAAATAAAATACAGAATAATGCAGAGAGACACAGGAAATAGAGGACGAAATCCTGATGATAAAATTGACCTCCAAAATGCTGGAATTGAAGGCTTTATATAGGCAAAACAGTGGTTGTTCCGAACAGGTATAAAAACCTATTTGGACAAATTGAAGAGACACCAACAGATTTGAATCTGTTTGAACAGTTTCAGTTTCGGGTTGAACTCTTTGAACCAGTTCAGGAGGGTCTAACCTATTAGGCTCTGTTTGGATGGAAGAAAAATTATTGAACCAATTTATTTTGATTTTTAAAACCGAAAATAAAAATAAATAAATAAAGTTCAAAAGTTCTTGGCCCAACCCAAATGGCCGATGATGGTGCGCATGTGGTTTTAGTTTTGGGTCCAATGGGTCTAGCCCACTACACCCATAACCTCA